GTAGCAATAATCGGGCGAATAATAAAAAAAATTCCTGTAGAGAAACGAGAACGATCGGGCGAGGCAAGCAGAAAAAAAGAACGCGTTAAACACGTTTCTGACTACGTGTTTCGGCGGAAACGGCGATAAAGTTGATCTCTCTCGCCTCCTCCGCGAGTATACATCCATGAAGACGACGACGTCTGTCTGAGAGTCTCTCGCTCTTTTATCACGAGTAATTCAGGCTGCTACAATACATGCACGGTCTCTTAATAAATTCGTGGCCTAATAATGACCGAGCCGGGAACGAAACATTCTATAAACGCCTACGTTCTCTCTTTCTCTGTATGTGCACATACACGTGCGCTTACTTTACGGGTACCAGATCTCGGCCGAGCGATGGAGGTAGTACCATACGAGAAAAAAATAGAGGGACAGAGAGAGAGAGAGAGAGAGAGAGAGCGGATATTATCGCCAAACGTTAATTTAGCCGAGGTCCGGCCTACCTTCCAATTTTCGAGCCCTTACACGCCCACTTATGAGATTGTCCGTTAACGCTCCGAAACGTCGGAACCGCGTATATTCGACGCCCGCGTTTCCCTCTGTAGCAGCGTCCTCTCGCCGTGCTTGTCCCCTCGTGACAAGCGTGACTCGTATGCACGCGGGCGGGCTCTCTTGAGGAGCTTTATATCAAAATTGAGGATCGCTCGCGCGTTTGACAAATTTGCGATCAACCTCTACCCTACCCTATCATAATCCCGTAACTGAGAACGGAAGGGAATTATGCGCCAAAATTATCGGTTTTCAGATATCTATGTCTTTATAATCAAAAGAGCAAGCCTTTACGTTATATATGACTACCTAATATTTTTTAAGAGCTTCAAATTGATTTCTTACATAAAGGATCCCGCACAAAGATATACACAGGATTTTGGCTTCCGCTAGAATTGCCTGAATTTTTGTGATCGATGAATTTTTTTTGAATTTTCTCAAAGCTGAATAACAGGACAGTTGCCGAGTTGAACAACTTGCAAAGTCTGAATTTTTTTGTATTTGATTGCAGGCTGTAAATCAGTAACCATCTATTATTCAGCTTTGAGCCTATTATATTTTTTGTTCAGCAAGTCATAAGTTACACATGAGAAAATAAGCTGATTTTATCGAAATTCAATTTCATCTAGGACTTTATACAAGTTCAAAAACCCCGTAATAATCATACAAATTGAATCTTAGTAAGATCAGCTGATTTTCTCATATTTTGTAGCTTATGATCTGCTGAACAGAAGCTAAATAATAGATGATTAAACTATAACGTATCAAAAATTCAGCCAATTCCACCGAAGGCCAAAATCCTATTTTGAGCGGAATCCTTTATTAATATCGAAAATTCATGAGTATTTATAGATAATTAAATTAATAATAATCTATTATATATGACTTGTATACTTTACATGAATTTAATATCGAAAATGGACGAGTATTTATAGCTAATTAAAATGATAATGAAAAAACTTAAAATGTGCATAAATTTGGGAAAAACATAAATGGATATACGATTTACGGTTTTATATCATCCGTGACCGATTATACTCTCGATCCGAGCGCGGAAGCGCACGTGAACGTAGGATGAAAAATGAACAACAAAAATATCCACGCGTATAGTAGTATATAATAGTGCCGACTCGCGGATAAACTCTAAACACGTGTAAGAACATATATGTTCCAACACGAAAACAAATGTACGTAAGAAAGAGCCGAGGGGTGGAGAATAAATACGGTTATACGCGTGTAAAGTTCTCTCTCTCTTCGTAATGCGCATGCAAAAAGTAGATGCATCTCGGACAGTGCGTGCGTCTCTACGACGCGTAAACGCAAACGAGAACGAGACTTGTGTGTGTGTGTGTGTGAGAAAAACGGCAAAATAAAAGGCGGCACAATGCCCAACGTCCGCAACGCGGATGTGAAATATACTACTATTTAAACGAAACCAGGCCGTCAGCGGGAAAGATACATTTTGTTTGTATGCATACACATATCTATAATACACTCTACATTGTAAAAAAATGTGTGGTATATTATGTAAAAATATATCAAATTACAGAAATAATAAATGTAAAGTAATACAATAAATAATTAATTATCGTGTAATTTTACATATTTTTTTTGCAGTCCATATATGTATAATAAAAAAAAATATATTTTAAATATTAGATATATATAATATATCTATATATATATATAATTTCTATACATATAAAAAAATGTTATAATTTATAAAAATGCCTTTGATATATAAATATTGATAAATAGCCGGTATATTTATGTAAATGCACAATTATTATGTAAACATATGAATAAACATGCGATTAAAAATAAATGCGGCGGAGAATGTAAAATTGTATATAGACGAATTCTTTCGCGCTCCAATTTTATTGGATGATAACGCGGTTCTCTTGACGACTCGCGAATTCGAAATAGAGGTGGATGACGCGAAATAGAGGAGGAGACGTCACAATGTTGCGTGTAGACTCCGACTTACGGAATGCATATTAGCGTGTGCGAGAGAGTGTTGCACGGTGAGAACCGGTTGTATAGAAACCATCCGCCACCTCTTCTCTCTCTCTGCACCTACTCCTCTTCTTCCTATCATCCGCCGACCTTTCGTTCCTTCATCCTTACCGAGCATATCCTCACCGGCAAACTCACCGCTACATAATGCGGCAATGTGCACGCCCGCGCGTTATATGTATGCATATATATGTATGTATGCGTACACTGACTGCTAGCTAACGCATTTCCGCACGCATAAATGTATACGGGGTGTCCGAGCCGAGATCACCAGGGGGCTCGGCTAAACAAAACCACGATCTCGCTTCAACGTGGAAGTATCAATCGAGCTCTAAACGGATGATGAACATTTATTTTTTTTTTTTACCTCATACGGATTCTAGAAGATGCATATCAACGCAATATGTATTTTCGAGATAGATATTAATATTGAAAAAAAAAAAAAAAAGAATATATTGGAGAAGAAAAATAATTCAACTTTTATTTTATTCGGGGAAGAACTTCCAGATGAGAAGAATCGGGGATTATTTTCGAGACACTCTGTATAGCAGTTGGTACGTGCAATTTGCGCGATGCATCGACACTATAGGCGTCTATCTATCTGACGTTGGGAACGAGAAGAGCGAGTTCGTATCTTTTCTTTTTCTCCGTTTCCTGACCTGGCTACCTACAGACCATAGGGACGCGGATTTTCTCTCTCATTCCCATCCAGAGTTCATCTCCCGAGGCGTTAGGCATCTCGCGAATATTATATTGATATACACAGAGGAAATGTTCTCCTAGAATTCATCCTGAAAATCATAGTAATCGTGGGACAATATATGGTACTGGGAAGAATTTCATAAGAGTTTCTCTGATTGTGATATTAAATCACAATAAAAAAATATTAATATCTATCACAATAAAATATTAATACTTTTTATTCAGGTAAATATTAATCAGAGGAAATTTTCTCTTAGAATTCATCCTGAAAATCATAGTAATCGTGGGACAATATATGGTACTGGGAAGAATTTCATAAGAGAGTTTCTCTGATTGTGATATTAAATCACAATAAAAAAATATTAATATCTATCACAATAAAATATTAATACTTTTTATTGAGGTAAATATTAATCAGAGAAATTTTCTCTTAGAATTCATCCTGAAAATCATAGTAATCGTATGGGACAATATATGGTACTGGAAGAATTTCATAAGTTTCTCTGATTGTGATATTAAATCACATAAAAAAAATATTAATATCTATCACAATAAAATATTAATACTTTTTATTCAGGTAAATATTAATCAGAGGAAATTTTCTCTTAGAATTCATCCTGAAAATCATAGTATCGTGGGACAATATATGGTACTGGGAAGAATTTCATAGAGTTTCTCTGATTGTGATATTAAATCACAATAAAAAAATATTAATATCTATCACAATAAAATATTAATACTTTTTATTGAGGTAAATATTAATCAGAAGAAATTTTCTCTTACAATTAGAATTCATCCTGAAAATCATAGTAATCGTATGGGACAATATATGGTACTGGAAGAATTTCATAAGTTTCTCTGATTGTGATATTAAATCACAATAAAAAAATATTAATATCTATCACAATAAAATATTAATACTTTTATTGAGGTAAATATTAATCAGAGGAAATTTTCTCTTAGAATTCATCCTGAAAATCATAGTAATCTATAGGACAATATATGGTACTGGGAAAATTTCATAAGAGTTTCTCTGATTGTGATATTAAATCACAATAAAAAAATATTAATATCTATCACAATAAAATATTAATACTTTTTATTGAGGTAAATATTAATCAGAGGAAATTTTCTCTTAGAATTCATCCTGAAAATCATAGTAATCGTATGGGACAATATATGGTACTGGGAAGAATTTCATAAGAGTTTCTCTGATTGTGATATTAAATCACAATAAAAGAATATTAATATCTATCACAATAAAACATTAATACTTTTTATTGAAGTAAATATTAATGAGAGAAACTTGTAAAGTACCATGATTTTCTCTCAGGGTAAATTCTAAGAGAAAATTCTCTTCGTATAGAACTTGACATATCCATGACATATTATCATAGGCTGCGGAAATACAATCTTTGTCGAAAAGCGTTTGCTAGAGAATTTTAACTGATCTGAGAATATATTTTCAGCAAGAAACATACAAAAATTTCGATATGCACTTTGAGAGCAACATAAAAAATATTTATACGATATTTATTTCTTCATATGTATCTACATATTATCTTCTTCCAATATATCATAAACAGAAAAAATTAATATTCGAACAATACATGGATATAAATATTATCGCAAGACCGTTTGTTATTTCTGCTAATAATTTTAGAATAAGATAGATTTTTATTTGGATATGTAACGAACGCGCGGAAATTACCTTCGATCGAGTTGCTTACGAGTTTGTTTTTCTGTTACAGATTTCGAATAGACAACACAGATCATATAATCGACGTAAACAAGAACAATGCAGCGTTCGAGTATGATCAAGTCAATATAATATGTCCGGTATATCCACCGGACTCGTATGTTGATGACGATGCTGAAAAATACATCATTTACAATGTAAGTTAATTTCATCATTTTTATAATGTTTATTCTTTGTTAGTATTAATTACCATTAATATACAAAAATATAGCATACTATATTCAAATTAGCTATGTGAGAAAAATGAAAAATACTCTTTTCATAAATGTCATTTTCTATAAAATTTTAGATGTAATGCATTAGAATGCTTACCTTTTTTAATGCTCTTGGAAAAATTAATTGCTTTACGTCTTTTATTCTTGAAAATGTATTGGGCAATGAATATATAAAAATATTATGTAATATACATATGACATACATTGAACGTAAAAAAATTGTCAGTCAGACTCTACTGATGTTTAGACAGCTGCTGCTACTTGAAACTGGTTCTTTAACCAGCTTCCATTATATTCCCAAAACGACATCCACTCTTCAACAAGAGTACTGTGCTACTGAAATATAAATTTATAAAATGAAAGAATTAGACGTACAGTCCGGAACACATTAAAGAAAACTTTGACTTGGAGAACTTTTTTTTTTTATTTTTAATCTTTGCTCGAGATCCGTAGTTTTATATTTAGATGAAAAAAGTTATAGGATTAATTATTCGTCTCAAAATTAAAAATTTTATTGCAATCTTTATTCGTGGCACTAAAAATTATTCTTGAAAAATGACAGAGATCGGAGAGCGCAAAACAAGTTGTAGGATTAATTTTTCTATCGTACAATTATTCGTCTCAAAATTTAAACTTTTATTTTAATCTTTATTCGCGACACTAAAAATGATTCCTGTTACTCTGCTAAAAAAAATGACAGATATCGGAGAACGCGAAAAATTCCTAACTTCGCAAACTCGATTAGCACAATTTTCTTAGAAAATTTCATTCGAGCGAGCTAATCCCGGATATTATCCCGGAATTGATTTTCGCCCTTCACAGATTATATCCATGGAACATTCCATTCTCTCGAGCAAAGCAAAATCTCTCAAAGACTATTCGGCGGCGACTTAATCGTTTTAGTCCACTCGATTGTCTCTCCGCCATCAGCCGTCCCATTGTCTCCGTCGTTCTTCCTACACAGCGATTAGCTCCTACACAATGAAAAGCCCTCGACCGTAGAAGAAAGGAAAAATCCCGGCATCTTTCACAGCGGTCAATCGATGATTGATGTTGGCGATTCCACGCGTCACCGATCGATTATACCGTCATCTGACATCCCTGTTGGACGTTTTACAGGTGTCCAAGGAGGAGTTCGAGACATGTCGGATAACGAATCCCAGTCCGCGGGTAATAGCGGTGTGCGACAAGCCGCGCAAAACGATGTACTTCACCATCACCTTCAGGCCGTTCACACCACAACCCGGGGGCCTCGAGTTCCTCCCTGGCCACGATTACTATTTCATCAGCACCTCGTCCAAGGACGATCTCCATAGGCGCATCGGCGGACGGTGCACCACCAACAACATGAAGGTCGTCTTCAAGGTCTGCTGTGGTAATGAGGCCGAGACCTCATCGGCGACATCGCGCAACAACTGTAAGTATCTATAGTGGACACGTGTCCAAAGATCGAGGAATACGAGGATTCATTTATAAAAGAAACTATTCTTCGGGATATATTTTTCTTTCGATCACGATTGACACGGTACAATCACGTAATTAAATGTTTTCAAAATTTACTTCAATGTACTTTAACATAATAATGATCAGGTCACTATTACATCGAAACAATTTTAGAATTTACCCTGAAAGAATTTCTCTGATTAATATTTACCACGATAAAAAATATTGATAAACACCTAGTAAAATTATTCGAATATATATTTTATCGCGAAATATATTAATATTTTGTATTGTGGTAAAAATATCAGATCTTTATAAAATTTAAAAACATAAATTTTGAATTCTTTTAACTTATCCTCTAAGTTAGAAGTATAAGAATTTTCAAGATGCAATTTTTCATGTATTCAGCTATATTGACATAATTGATTTTGACGTCAACGTGTGCACATCTCATTAAAATAAAACCATTGAAAATAAATTAGTAATTAAAAAAAATACTATAATTTAAATACTTAAATAATCCGTAGGATGTAAATGCAAAAGACGAAATTTCCTTTGTTCTTCCTCCGGGAACTCGAAAGACTCGGCGAGCAAAATTCGTGTAACTAGCGTGTGCAGTTCACTCGGGTGCGTTTCTCATTTGCATTCGCACATCATTCACGAAACGATATCCGAAATACGAGCTTCTCTTCCCATGAAAGTAATCTCTCGCACGCGGCAATTATATTCTAATTTCTCAATTATCATAATCTGAAATTACAGGCGCCGCCTCGTAAGAGGGACACACCGCCTTTTCATTTCGCGTGTAAATCACGCTTTTGAACTCTTCGCGCTTGCTCGTTTCAGTTGACCTCCGTTGGAAGACGCGGAAAAAAGGAGAGCGTGATGGTCCATAAATTCATTATCCCGCAATTAGAGTTACGTGAGAAACGGTCGTCATACAGAGGAGAACTTATCATCCTTGCGAGCTCGTTTTTTTTTCCTTAACGTTCTTATCCAAACTCTCTCTCTCTCTCTCATCCAGACCGTCTTTCTCTCTTAAATAATCCCTATCGATTATAATCTTCGCGGTGCGTTATTTGTTGCGATCGGGAGACCAGCACTATATGTCCCGGAGCACAATAAATTCTACCATTTCATTTCACCCTACTGTTCCCTCGCTCTTTCTCTCCAATTCGTTTCGAAGCATCCTCGAGAGAAGAAGCGTCCTTTCGCTTCTTTCTTCCCTACTTCCCTCCTCCCCCATTCCTCTTTTTCTTCATGCCACCTCCGCCCTGGCAGAGACGATTCATGCGCCATAATGACCAGCTATTTCGCCGGCCGGGAACTCTGAACTCTCCTCCTCCTCCCGAGCATTGAAGATTCCACGGCAAAACCTGAGCCTCGCGTCCACGGTAGACACACGTCGAGGGTTCGCGCGCAGCTACTTCCATACAATTATATCGCCGGGGGGTGCGTGCCTTCTCTCTCTCGGTCGCGAGTTTTATTCCCGAAGAGTTTGCAGCTACAGCGTCAAGTTATGCGCTCGGAATAATACGAGAGAACTATCCTTGGACTCTCGCGATGGGAAAGTGTGAATATGACGAGGGTTCCCCGGTCGTTATATTTGACTCGCTTTTGTTCAACTATTTCCTTTGGGTTCTTTATGCATTTTCATTTTATTTATCTTCAAATGTTAGAAACAATTTTTCGCTGTATTTTTCTCTATATTATACAGGGTGCCCCATAGGAAACTGCTGAAACCAACCAGCTGTCATTTTCCAATATATACAGTTATTATTGAAAAAACAAAAATTGTGCAGCACTTTTCATGACTTTTTTTTCAATAAAATAAACTGGTATACAAACATTTTCTTTATATCCATTAAAAACTGTAGACTTTCCTCTTTCCAACACAATTTTTGTTTTCCCAATAACTGCGTGCATTAAAAAATGACAGTTGATTGACAGTTTCAGCAATTTCTACTGCATTTCAACACAACAAATTTGTCTTCGATTTTTACATAAGACTGTCATTGAAAATCGATTTCGCAAACGCTGGTAACGATGTCACCAATCATTCCTCGGACACCTGCGCGAACGGACGAGAGACGCTTAATGATCGAATGTGTCGTCTTCCAGCTGTAGCCGTGACCAGCAGCACCGTACCCAGCAGCAGCTCCACGAGCACCGCGGTTTTGGGCGGCGGAGCCGGTGTGCCGCCCCCGCCGCCGCCGATCGTCTACAGGGGCGGAGATCGATTCTACCCGGGGGGCAACATTCATCATCGTCCCGATCATCATCTGCCGGGCACGGCGGCGCCGACCCTGTCTCACGTACCTTCGCCGGCCGTCTACCCTGCGCATCCGCATCCGCATCAGCCGCCGATTCACAATGGACCGCCGTCCTCGATCACGCCGACCAAGACCTCGACCGGCCAGAAGAAGAAGAACAGTACGTATCGCGTCGTCACATCACTCGTCGTTGCACTCTGGCTGTCTATCTACTGTGTCTATCTCACCTGTCGATGAAATCTTGCTCTGAAACGCTTTATCGCTTTTATTATATGCCTTGTATTTAATTCCATACTCGGTATTGACTTGAGTCTGTCTTGAGATCTGTAGAGTCATAGAGGAGATTTGCGAGAATTGAATTAGATCTGGTTGTTGATTTCTTTTCGTATGATCGAAGAACACTTTTGGCATAATTAAATCATGCTCGAATGTAGAGTGCAGTAATCATTGATGAATATCAATCGACATTAATTGACAGAGCATGGGCAACGCGCTCGTTATATTAATTGTCGTGGAAGTTTTTTTTTTTTTTTTTTTCATGCACTCAGTTAAGCTTCTGCATGACGAGCGAACAGACACGTCTTCTATTATCTATGTAATGTCATGCACTGCTCTCTCCTTTTAGAGTATTCATGGTAAATTATAGTAGAAATAATAATGAAGGATGACAACCGTCAATTATTACTAGTTGCAAATTATGTTCTTCCGAGTTAGTTCGCGTTCTAGTTTCAGCTCATTATTTTCTTAATTCATGACATGAATTTTCTCTCTTCTCAATCATATATAACATTTAGAGACATAAAAAATTTTTATATTTATCTATAACGCGTTTTTTTTTATAATGCATTTTTAATGTAAGATTAAAATTAGACTGCTTTATTTAGAGATAAACTATAAACCGCTTTGCCAGGTGCTGGCGAGACGTAATGTCAGGATCCGATCGGATGAAAACTGATCGAAAATCATCTATCGCTTATGGCATCGCTTGTTCTTAAATATGCTAACATTTACGATGTAATTTACATCATGCTCCATTTGCAGTTCGCTGATAAGTTGTTCATAGATAATTGCTCGGCTTAATTAACGATGCTATTTTTCTTTTCTTTCAGAGATTAATGTAAAGTCTCGAGTCATAATTCTTAATACGCATCAGTATTGCTTATCGAATGGTGAATGACTAACTTATGCCTTTCATTCTCGTTTTTACAGAGGAATATTCGGACCATCCGAACGAGGTGGTAAAGAACGAGGAACTGACGTACAATGGCGCAAATTCGTACACCATGCAGTTCCGGTACGCGCAGAACCTAATCTTGGCGATTGGCAGCCTGTTGATGAGCACATTGTTACAACAGCTGCTGCGGTGAAGCGATAGCACCGACAACGTACGAGAACGTCGTATATCCCATGCGTCGAAACCCCTTCTTCTGTGATTATCCTACGTTTAATTGATTTCTTGAGAAATGCGCGAGACATAAACGCGCGTCCCTCGGCCGTCCCTTGATCGTAGTAAGACACGCACGATCCATGGTCGCGCCGACTCGAGAGATGATAGAGAAGAGAGAAGAGGCCGAACGAAAAATGAGAGAGAGAGAGAAAGACGAAGATAAAGAGAGAAGAGACACGCACGACACACGAGCGGCAACGCCATATTAACTACAATTTAATATGAACTAGCAGAGTTCCAAGATGGAATATCATATAGGACGACGAAAACGACAAAGCCGAAGATAGGAAGACGGGAAGAAGTAGGAGAGAAAGCGAAAGGAAAAGGCTACTATTAGACACTATCTATAGTACACGCCCACTATTATTACTACTATAAATGGTAGTCGTATTGGTTGTCCTTTTATTATTACGCTGATAGCTATTTATTCAAATACGACAGAGATCGAAGTGGGAGTCGTGGCAGCGTGCTAAATATCCTCGAGAGAAATGTGCGAGAAAAAAAAGCGATCTATTAGTATATTAGTGACAGAGCTACGCGAGAAAATCCGTAAGAGATTGCGTCTCTTTAATTCCGCGTCGCGAATCGCGTAATCCAGGAAAAATGATCGCGTAGACTCGACCAACGACGACGAACGATCCTTCGTTAAGGGGTCCTTGCCATGGAAACGACGAGCTCGTAAGCTTTTTCCAAGGGGGGATCGTTTGAGCGCGCCGCGCCTCGAGAAAAGAGTACCTGAAAATCCTTGAATATTTCCGGTTCACGATCAAGACGATCCGGAACGAACAATTACGATCCTTGTTGCGAGATTCTTATTGCAAGAATCTCGTAGATACTTCAACTCAGAGTCGTCGATGCGACGTATCGTAGTTCCTCGATGATTGGTTGAAGGATCAAAGAATTAAAAGAATCGGTGTGTGGGAGTAATCATGTCTCTCGCGTGGCGTTTCAAGCTCAGATCGATCGCCGCTAATGTCCAGCGAATAGCAGGACGCCGAGGACGAAGGATCATTCGAGTTCGCGTACGAGATCGTGAGTAGGATAGTTAGCACGCGTGTAAATAAAATTCCTAATGAATATGTACAAGTGGCTCTTGGTCGCCTTGTATGCCGATGGGCAGCAGGGGGCCAGTGAAGTTTAAGAAAGAGTGCCGTATTTCTAGATAAATCTTATGTGAGAGAGAGAGAGAGAGAGAGAAACGAAGAGAGAATATGTATCAGAAAGAGAAAGTGTGAACGATTATGATGCGAAACACTGTAAAGGTACTCGTCGAACAAAGCGATGCGAGACATGAATTGTGCGAATTTTTGTCATTATGTCAGACTAAGTACGTCATTGTTGCGAGTCAATAACAAGGATAGACTCGAGCCGTTAGATAAGGGAAATGACAGGAAAAAGAGCAAACGAGTAAATAGAGAATTGTGTGCGAGAGAGAGATTGACTGACAATGAGTCGTGTAATCGAATAAGAGACAGAGATTTGTATAATAGTTGTATCATACCGAGACTTCTATCTATAGAGATCTGTATTATATTTATTATGCATTATCATTACGCTACGAATATTCAACACTCGATATTCTATATTCGCTAGTGAAATATCAAATTTAATAACAAATAAATTAATGTACTACCGAAGCCAGGGATGAAGCAGCGAATCGTGGCGCGAACAAATCCTCCCCAAGGCCAATTCCTGATATTTGTTATGATTTTCCTCGTTTATTTTATTTCGTTCCACATATACATGTATTATATATATTGTACGCGGATAAAAAATATTTCTATTCAAATTATCCACGGTATCCGATTAGTCAGTTGTTCGATCATGTTTCTGATTTATTGACTTTTTCTATATATATAAATAGGCTTTCTTTTTTTTATTATTGTATTTATTTACTAAAAAAAGACTCGCGCACGCGTACCATGTCACACGCGCATATACATACATATGCCACATTGCGGATTCATCTTTCACGCGATTTGAAAGCGAGATTGCGTGATACATGCATGCGCAGGCACGATATGCGAGGAAGAAAGATGAAGCAGTGAGTAAGTTTATCTATCGTGTCTGCTACCAGAGAAAGTTTCAAGCGCGCAATTACACTAACGAATTATTGTAAATACGAACTTATGGCAGAAAATGAGTACCGTGACAAGAGAATGTATATGAGTGCCTGTGCGGATGCGTGCGTGTGAAGATAGGTGCGAGGGAGAAGAAGGGAGGTCCTTACTCAGGATCTTTAGATAGTGAAATAGTCCTTATACGAGTTGAAGATATTGTTCGACGTGACCCGGCTCGCTTTCGAAAGTTTGTTCGTGATTCATCGTCCCTATTTGCGTCTACGACAACAGAGCGAACGATTATGATCAGTCGAAACTTGCGAATATACAGCGAAAATTCTGCAGCAGTATTATAAGCCTTAAGTATCTGTATTTTTTTTTTTATATTGTACCCTCGCAATAACAGGGCGAACCGGGCAACGCGATTTTTCACGATTCCAACTCTTCGTTCCGAAACTTATGTTTTCATTTAGGTAAATAATGCGTCCACAGACAATCAATTGCAAAAGTGAATTCGTCAAAATAAAACATCGTTTATGTTATAAATATTTATTCCTGATTTCCTTGGTTGAAATATATTCCGATGCATATATCATTATAATCAATCAACAATTTATTAATAAATATACATTAATTGTTGCACTAATGATTCAGAAACTATTAATTGTTGCAATATTATTTTTATCTATTGTCATCTCTGGAATAAATCAGCAATATAGAAAAGATATTCAATAACTATGGATATTAGAAGTTTTTAAACATTTTCAACCAAGGTATCATATATATATATATATAACATCATGGACATCAACAATTTTATTTTGCGATATCTTAGATTTTAGATTACACTTAGCGAACGGTCGCTTATTGCGTTATATTTGTGTATTGTTAGGAATCGTGAAAGTATCGCCGATCACAAGTTGAATTTATTACTTTAAGTGACAAAAGACAGAAAAAGGAAGTCGCTCGACCGATTGTTCGTGCGCGAAGGCGACGTGCGAAGAGATAAATACGTGAAATGGTACTCATCCGCGCGGACGATAAGCGAAACACGCTATAACAATAATATAGACTCGAATTATTCGATATAGAAAATAGACAAGGTCACTCACTGCAAATTTATTTTTCTTTTATTTTATTTCTCCCTCTCTTTCTTTTATTTCATTCCACAATCCATTATATCCACGATGTCGCGGACCGCGAAAGACGTGAGGCGTCCTGCTGCCGACGAAGAAAAAAAGTATTTTTTAAACAGATAGAAAGCATCTTTGGTGAGTTTATTTGTTCAGAAGCATATGTAAATAGATGTAACATGTGTACACAATGAGAGATCGGATCTATATATTTCGGTCCATCCGATCCGGTGGATCCGTCACGATACGACTTAAACACGTGTAAATAAACGTCCGAAATAGGATTAAAAAAAAAAAAAAAGAAAATGAAAGAAAAAGTGAAAAAACAGGAGGATACGCTTCACGTCCAATCCCGAGGAGACCCGAATTCCCGTCTGCTAATTACGTTCGGTATATGGCACCTCACTTACGTAATTATTTACTCGTGTGCGTGTACAAGACAAGAAAGGATAGAAGTCTCTCGTACGAACGAGAGAGACACCGCGTATATCCATGCACATTATGACAGAAAGAAAAATATTTGTTCCTCTCTTCTCGAGATCGAGGGTTAAAATATCCACCGCGCTGACGACGACACGGCCGTGCGGTTTGTAATGAATAATTAATTAACGTGAAGGAAGACGAGAGCGAGGAGAGATAAAGTGAATTTCGTAAATATTCGCGTCTCTGTAAATAAATTAACGATTAAATAAACGATAAACGCGATGAAATTTATATTAAAGTGCATATAGTGAGTATGAGATAGGTTTCTAATAACGATTTATTATAAAAATAAAAAAAATGAATGTATGTTGATGTCTAAGATTTTTAACAAGATGGAAGATACAGAGTGGTTAATTATAAAACTATGATTAAACTATTCATAATCGAAAGAACACTAATTAAACAGGATGCAGGTTCGAGTGTGGAGCCGAGCACTTAGCCAGATCGTGATTTCTCACGTTGCGTATATTATTTTGTAACCGGAGCATACAGGACCCATACATATACACTCTCTCTCATGGTTATCATACGCGGCGTTTTTTATATCATATTATAATTTAACCGTTTAAAAGAATAAAGTAATGAAGATAAAAATGTGAAAACTGTAAAATAATAAGATGAAAGTTTATGCTTTCTCTTTTCGGCAGTAATTGTAATTACATTTCGATAATAGAATTATAATATAATTACATTTAAAAAAATAATAATATAATTATATAATTACAATTATATAATATAATACATTATAATTATAATATATAAATTATATTATAATTCTATTAATATCATTTCACAATAATAGAATTTGCAAATTATATACGTATATATTAATTTCAGTTCTGATTGCATAATCCGATGCAATGTTTTTATTACAATTACGTATGCTATATATTTATAGAATATTTTATTTTATTCGAGAGTTTTTTTGTGCCGAATGCAGTGCATTCCGCGAACAATAAACCGAGATGGCATTCACGATATTGAAATATTAATTACAACTTTCATTCCACGCTCGATTCGCCGCGTATGGTATCTTTGGAACGGAACCTTATAGATTTGCGTGTGTTCACCAGTATGCACATTCAAGTACAGTACCAGTCGTTCATTACGAAACGTTACAGGATACAATACAAAGTAGCGTAGCATTCATAAACGGTAGTCCACTATAGCGAAATAGTATTTAAACGAGCGACCACAGGTTGCAAAAAAAAAAAACAGGAAAAAATCGCCATAATCAACCAAAAAAATTGCAGATAACAGTGTATAAAGAGAGAAATAAACGTAAACACAAGTTTTCACGAAAAAAAAAAGGAGCAGACACACAAGGCACACACATCACATACGTCACAAACATGCAGCTGTCGCGAAACTATGCAATGCAGCGAGATTATATACGCGTGATAGGGAGAGAGAGAAAGAGAGGGAGAGAATGTGTGAGAAAAAGCACGAAGGAAATAAAGTGAAGCACACGATATATCTAAAAAAAAAAAAAAAACTACGTTCATGTAAAATGCAATCTGTGTACGCAGACACGCGTGAGAATGAAAGGGCGGAAGGCGAGCAAGAGATGAGGGAGCGTAGGCTCGTCGGTGTTACACAATTTATGTAGGTATATTCTATATGTATGTCGATATATAGCGAAGTATATCGATGGCAAACGAAAGTAATTTAAAAAAAAAAAAGGGGAAAAAAATCGCGTGTGCGCCAGGTCGGAGGACTAGCTGCATCGTATTTTGTTTCGAGATACCTTGCGGAAATCATTCCTGTTCTGTGTCGGAGTCTGAGGAAAAAGAGAAAGGACGGTCCGGAAGAATTCAGAAAGTACAATATTGTTGTAAAAAAAAAAAAAAAATAGCACATTAATCGCATAAGTTTCTTACGTATATATTTAAAGATTACGACTTGTCTAGCTTGTAATATTATTCCTTGGAACAATGAAGAATTCTGTTATCGCGCAACGAATATATTGCAAATTAGAGAATTTCATAATACTAGTAATAATTAAGAAACAAAAATGTGTAGCGATATTTATTTTTGTATATAAAATATTTATTTATAACGCGTAAATATGTTTTGTAATTTTTGCTCTCGCATGCGCTAAAAAAAATTATTTTTACAATTAATAAGTAAATAAAGAATATTTTATATGGACCGTCCTGTCTTTGGCGATCTTGTTAGTACAAAAGAGATAGTCGATGCACACCAAGTATGCACGAGCTACTCGACTTGTGTCGTATAAAAATTGTCGCAGACAAATAACAACATTGGCACTAATTCATCACTTGTGGGTAATGCAACTTCTAGTCTATTCTTCTATTTTAATCGCTCGTTCATATTAATATGTTAATAGAGAGATTATTCTAAATTTGCGAGAAAGTCCAAGTCGTTTCATAAAATACGCAAACTTTATCATGCATATATTATTAAGAAGCAGTTTACGAAAAAAAAACATTGTGTTGTATAGAAATGATTTCTCGGATAGCTATCATGATTTTTCAAATTAACAACTAATACATATCGATCTCTCGAATATGTTAAGAAAAGCTTGATTAATCTAAAATATTGTTCCTAAATGTTGTCCTAATTTTCATTCAAATCTTATCTTTTTATACATTTTTATGCCATGAGAAGAAGAGGCCTAAGAATTTTTATCTAAAACAAATGTTTTGAATTGCAATTAAATATTCTCGCTATTGTCGCTAAATCTGTAATTGCAGAGCACTTTTACTAAAGCTCAAATAATTTTTTTGATAGAGTATAAATATAATATATACATAAAATGCGTTGCGCGAAATATAATGGAGCAACAACTGTTTCACTATTTATTCGATATAGGAGCGCAATAACTTCCGAAATAAATTGCCATATTCAATTGTTATCGTCAATTCATATTTAATACGTTGCTAATGAAAAAAAAAAAAAGAAAGACACAGACAAAACGAGAAATTATCCTACGCATAAAAAAAAGCCAGTAAACATCTTCAATACATTCCAACAAAATAAAAATACGTTCCAACGTTTCGCTAATTTGAAGTTCACTTTAATATAATTAAAAATGGATATTATTTCGCACGCGCAAACTATTTTTCTCTTTGTAATTGTGTTTTCACAAAGGCCATAAAAATAATACACGACGCGCTTTATTGGCGATAGTTAGAATTATATCAGTCAAATGCAAATCACATTATCGTATTAATTAATGCTTTTATATGTACGTATAAAGTCTGTCAGCTACTTAAGAAATTGTACGATAAATAGGAAAACAAATACTCGTCTCACGAGAATAATATATGCATTTCAACGTTTATTCTCTATTTTGCATTGCACATTTGACGAAAATTTAATCGCATTATGCTTCAAGAATTACGTTACATACTCTTGATAACTTCTCTTCGGCAGATTAACGTGCTGTAATCAATGTAATATCTACTTTTCGATGTAATATCGATTCATATCTAACACGCAACGAGCGCATCGATTGCACATCAAAGATGCATCTCTCTTCCCGCGGTTATCATAATCTTTTTCGACGACGAAAGCAAATTCAAACCATGTATATCGAACGGAATTGGGCGAAGATAATATATCTGCCGTAGCAAAAAAAAAATAATCGTTTTTCGTGACTCTTATACAACCATTGTACAATAATAAGATCAATATACACAGTCAAATATCTGTAAAATAGATACCGTTTATTATGATAATATAAGCAGACTAAGTGATTTATCAATTTTAAAACTTTTTTCAAACAAACGAAATAATGTGCGCCCAATTCTGTTTCGAAAAAAGGAAAGACATTGTCAAATTCTGTCAAATACGAGTCATTTACTATTAGATCCTAGATTAAAGCGACTCTTTCATACTTTGATAAACGTGGCTGATTTTCCTAGATTAAAGCGACTCTTTGATACTTTGATAAACTTAGCTGATTTTTAAATCAGAGAATTATGCCCCCAAAAATGATGATTAATGGGATATGAAGAAGAGTACATAAAAAGCTATGTCTCTCATGACTTATAAAAGTTTCAACCCCGTCAAAGATGGAACCATTAAACAAGAAAACGTCGAAGAAAAAAGAGAAATGTAAGAATCAACTATGGGAAAAAGAAGGAAAGAGGGATAAACAAGTTCAGAATCCATCAAGCAAAATTTAGTGCCGGCCTACAGAGAAACAGGGAGATTTAATCGCGTATTTTTGCAGAAGACGATGTTGCTTGAGAACCTTAAAAAAAAAAAAGAAGAAACACACCGAACAGCACCCTTACGGCCTGGAAAGATAGAGCAAAGCAGTAAATAAATAAAAAAAAAAAAAAAAAAACACGACAAAAGGGTGATATGCCCCCCTCATTAAGGATGGCCTATATATCGCACTCGTTTGAAAACTTATCGCAAGAATGCACAAGAAGTAGCGTACACTCGCTGTACTACTGTTTGTTGACTTGAATAAATATGCGGATTAAAAAAATCGGTTTGGTTTATATGTACATGTGGTGAGTCCAAAATTCGCGCGAGCAGAACGTTGATGATCGCCCGGAAGCGAAGCCGGGATTGCGTGCGAATTATTTGCGCAGTGCAACTTGCGAAATATCGGATTATAATGAGAGAACGCTTTCGGACGAGTATGAGCGTCCTCCATACGGCGATATTGTTATTATGCGAACGTACTCACAAGACGGCATGGTATACAAGACTAAGAACAAGACCTAAAATAGGGACATAATATTTTATAACTCAACTTTTGTACAGAATAAATAAATACTTGTACTGTGGACCAATATTTCTTTCATTTCATTCATACCTGTTTTAAATATGTACACCTGTCATCGATGATAAGATTATTACTGGCAACAGAATTAATTTTTGCCTTATATGAATTGTTAAAATATGATTTTTAGTTTGTCCATCAATTTATATCTTTTGTTTTCAATAATTAATAATTAAAAATGAGGGTGGTAAGTATGAAGAATTTTACTTAATATAAAAAAGATATAATGTCGATATCTAAGGATGTTATAAAAAATATTAATGATCAGAAATTATGTATACACATTATGTACATATAGGCACTATGTAAATTATTTTAACAATTGTGAGGTCTATTTGTCTTTCTTATTTATCAATGGTATAATAACAATAGAATTTTTGGCTTCTGGTATTCGCCACCAATTACCATTTCTATGTTCACTACCTACACCAGCAATAAGCTGATTTCCATCAGGTGTGAAAGTGAGTGCATTTATGAAACCTGTTACTTTAATTTCAAACAATAAATTTAAAGACTTAAAATCCTGACCACATTGCCACAATTTTATTACGCCATTTCGTGAGCCTAGAAATCAGTGAAGAAAAAAATGTAGATATCTTTATAGCCAAATAGAAGAAATGATAATAACATACCTGATGCTACTAAATCTGTATTTAACAACGTTGCGATACTTGAAATCCACATTGGTTGGCCATTGATTTCATCCTTTCCATGCGCCTCCAGTACTGAACACAATGGCTTTTTTTTCAAACATCCCCAAACACAAAGTTGTCCATCATCTCCACCGCTGAAGAAATTCTCCTCATTTATAAGCTTAACTATGTCGATGCTATTACCAACATGTCCATTAAATATTAATTGTGATTCTTCGACTATTTTCCATATTCTGATGGTCCCATCGTAACCACCGCTCGAAATGGCACGCTCTCGTGAAAGTGCGTCGATAGATGTAATACCATTCTGATGTCCGAATCTACAAGAAGGAACGATAGTATTATTAGAAATTGCTTGAAACTAAAATAAAGTAATTAAAGATATCATAGAAGCAAATAAAATTACTTACAAAGATTCGACATAAACCATATCATCCAGATTCCAAACTTTCACACTTTTATCTTCGGATGCAGAATATAATGTGTGAGTATCTTTTCGAAATGTCAATCCAGATATAAAGTTTCTATGACCTTGTAAGTTCTTTATATGATTCAAGGTATCACCAGAAAATACTTTTATATCATTACATTTAATATCTCCTACTACCTGCAATAAAAAAAAATTATATCTTGATATATTATATATATATATATATATATATATATATATATATATATATATATATATATATATGCGTTTGTATAAATATATATGTATATATATTTTGTATACATATTATTTTGTTTAAACTCACCAAAAATTTTCCATCTGTGCTAAGAGCCATACACCGTATAGATTTCATTCCATCTTTCGTTTTTCCTCTATTTCCTCGAATAACTTTTAACTTGGTTTTTCTTTTACTGACCCTAATAAATAAGATTATCACACAATAATCGTTACTATTGTTATATATCATATTATTTTAAAAACATGTATATATATATATAATCTTTTTCTATTATTACTTTATCTATTATTCTCTCTTTTCTCTAAATAACCATTTAAATTTATGTACTTACATTTAACTAAACTGCCATCCTTAGATCCCGAATATAATATACTGCCATCATTGGAAAGACAAATGCAAGTAATAGGTCCTTTATGTTCTTTACATCTCAATAATGTGAGTTTCTTGTGACCAATATAATTTGATGCTATAGTTTTTCTTAATCGGCCCTTTTGCTCTAAATATTCTTCACGTAATCTTTGTGCAACTGCGCCCTCTTCAAATTCTGCTCTATCTTTCTCTACAATTTTATAAAAGTATTTTTGTCATCAGTAATAAAATAGTATAAACAAATTTTATATATATATATATATATAATTCTCTTTTACCTTCTGCTTCAATTTGTTCAAGATATATCTTTGCAAGCCTCACACTCTTTTCTTGCGCAGTCTCCTCCTCTTCTTCCGTTTCACTTTCATATTTTTCTGTTTTATTCCTATAAGAGAAAATCTTTTATAATCTCACTGATTATATTATATATAATATTTTGAATATATTATTTGATAATTACCTTAAATTTTCTTCTGCAAATTCTTCATCCGTACTGGCAATACTATCATTGTCATTATGTACATTATGTTTTTTTTAATCGTTTTGATGTGAGCTGAGATTTGGAAATCTTGCTTTGGTGACCATTAAACTAATAAACAATATTGCATATTTTTAAATATTTAATTACATAAGTCATTAATATATTAAATAATTAATACTATTGTTTTCTCTCTTTCTAAATAATTGGCAATACACAGATATAATGTAAATGTTTGCAATATAAGAATAAAAAAAAATAAGACAATTATACTAATTCTATACAAACTTAATTCAAATTTCCAATTAGAGGAGAAAGAATCATGTGTAACATTTTTCCAGAATAAAATAAATAAAAAGAAAAGAAAATAATAAATTAAAGCGTACTTTGCGTTTCTGTGTTTTATCTCCTCGGCCACTCCTGATAAAAAACGGCATTGCGATAATGAAAAATAATCCTTTTATCTTAATAATTTCTTTTAATCAACACCAAATGTAGCCTATTTTTTTCCTCTTCGTAATAAATTAAGTTTCCGCGTGGTTCGAAACGATTCACATGTGCATCATGAAATAATAAAATACATCCATAAACATGAACACATTAAAAGATGGAATAACACACAACAGATTGCGATGTCGATGTGCGATATCCGGTAGCCAATAGGAGAGTTTGTTTCCTAGGGAAGAAAATGGCGGTAGTTAAGAATCCTTTCTATTGGCTGTCGGATCGTCGAACGACGCGATTTTGTCGCAACTTTCACTCATGAGAAATAGCAACCAAAAAGATGCCTTTTCGCTGAAACCGATTGTTTAAGCGACAAAAATGATCACGTAACAACTTTTGTCGTTGAAATAAACAGCGATAATTTTTATACATGAAAAGGATAGCAGCGCAACAGAATTGAAAATTGAGCGTTTGAGCAGTAAATGCTTTGTAGGTGTACTGATTCAACCCTATAAGCGCATGATATTATTTAATATTCTAGGCGTATTCTTCGAATATTTAATATTCTAAAAATACGCCTAGAATCCCAGACAGGACCAAATCCAAAATCGGCGCATAAAATATCTTTAAAATATATTTAAGATGTCTTTCGGATATCATATCATATAACCCCCATAGCAAAAAACCAGTGATATCACAGTGATATCACAGTGATATGCTCTGGATGTCATAGCGATGTGCGAATGTCCGCTTTGTCACAATGATATCATTGTGACATCATTAAAGCTGTCTTAAAGATTTCTTAATGATATTTTATGCATCAATTTTGGGCTTGGTGCTGTCTGGGATATTGCTTAATTATTAAAAGGGATACTACAAAACTGTTAGTGCTGGATTACGAGCGACAAATCTGTCGTTTTAATTACTTGTTTCAGCGGCACGTAAAATTTCACCTTTAATTTTCTTCTACAAATTCTTCGTCTGTACGCTAGCAATACTATCATTGTTGTTATGTAAATTATTTGCTTTTTTTAATCGTTTTGATGTGGGCTGAGACTTATGGATATATATTTTCTCAGACAATACACCATGTCTAAAAGTAGTGCATAAGACATCTTTAAGTAGTCTTTAAGATGCCTTGATAATATGATATCCAAAAGACATCTTTAAAGATATCTTATGCGCCAATTTTTGACATGGTCGTAGTGTGTCTGGGTTGCCTTTAGTATGACCATATATTATACTAAAAAAATTGCATATTTTTAAACATTTAATTACATAAATCTTTAATATATATTAAATAATTATATTATTGCTCTCTCTCTCTCTCTCTCTCTCTCTCTCTCTCTCTCTCTCTCTCTCTTTCTCTCTTTTTCTAAATAATTAGCAAATGCAGACATGATATGTTTGCAACATAATAGACCCAGCAAACACCAATATATAATTGTTACATTGCTATAATAAAACGGAATATAACAGGTAATATAACGTGTACGTTACATGTAACATCCATGTTAGTTGTAATTTCCCACTCATAGATGTAACATTTTAATATAACATATATTACATTGTAGTTATATTGTAATTATACAGGGTGTTCGGTAACTAACGGACCAACGATCACAAATGGATTCTTTGGTCAATTTGGAACGATTTTCCTCAGCGAAAATGTCAAAAAAGGTCATCATTTTTTACAACTTTCCAATATTTGTCATTATGTATCTTTATAACTAAGCCTCAATTAAAATTGTATTATAGTAAACTCTACCTGAAATTAACTGAAGAATGTAATTATGTTAGACTTTGAACTCCAAAACGTTAGTTTTCAAAAAACCCATTTTTTTCAATCGCTTATAACTCGAAAATTATTGACTTCTCAACATTTTGCTGAGGAAAAATCATCATCTTTTCACCTACCCTACAACCCCTCAACGGTTGGCACCGGAGTTCCCGAACACCCTGTATACCAAATAGCACATTGATGTATTGATAAGTCAGTGCTATCTTGGGATATAATGACAATATAACTACAATGTAATATGTAATATTAAAAATGTTACATCTATGAGTGGGAAATTACAACTAACATATACGTTACATGTAACATGCTTAAGTATATAACATTTATATATTGTGTTTGTTGGGGAAAAATAAGACAAATTTAATAATTATATATACTAATTCTATACATAAACTTATTAATTCAAATTTCCAAATAGAGTAGAAAGAATATCATGCATAACATTTTTCCAGAATAAAATAAATAAAAATAAAATAAAATAAATTGAAGCGTATTGCTTTTTGTGTGTTTCTATATATTTTTTTATCTCCTCGACTACTCCTGATAAAAAACGCATCGCGATAATGAAAAGTAATCCTTTTGCCTAAATGATTTCTTTTAATCAAGACCAAATGTAACACACACACATATATACATATATATATATATATATATATTCTCTTCCTCTTCGTAATAAATTAAATTTATTACGAAGAAATAGAAGATATCTATATAGAGAAGATTTCTATAAGAAATAGAAAATATCCATCAATAAGAGCAGAGAATAATATCTATCTCCTTCTTCGATTTTTTGATATTTTTATTCTTATTATTATCTGTTGCCTGGCATTGTGCAAGGGGCTGTTCACATGTGCATCATAAAATAGTAAAATACAACACAACTTGCAATGCGATGTGCGACATCTGGTAGCCAATAGGAGAGTTTGTTTCCTAGGGGGAAAAATGGCGGTAGTCAAAAATCCGCGCTTTCTATTGGATGTTGGATCGCTCTGCGACGTGATTGGTCGATTCGATTCTGCCGCAACTTTCACTCATGTGAATAGCAGCCAATGGTGAAGTGAAAGTGGCGGTTCCTTTACGCAAGAATATTTGAATTACGCTGGGTGCGAAGAAGTGCGAGTCTCGCAGGTAAAATAACATTATTATTTATTTATCATAAGTTAAAGAGAACTTTTGACAACTAAAAACAGTAAGATATGACGTTTTCTCTATCGTATGCACAAATATTGCTACGCATTTGCGTATTTATGCATCAAATTCATCGTTCAAACGACGTCCACTCTTCTCCCCCTCCCTCCCACTCTCCTCATCACTATAGTATATTCAGCAAATATTTTTATCGTAATATTATTTGTAAGACGTTATATAGTTCATTGTATAATATTAATTTACTTGTTCCCTGTGTTTCCCGAAGATAAACGAACATCAATTGAATATGTACATCATGCAGTACTTGATGTAGTACTGCAATATATACTGTAATATATATGAAGTAAGAATTTGCATATATATATATATATATATTGTTTATATGGGAAAACTTTGTGTATAATCTTCACATTTCGTATAACTTAATTTTTCCTGTAATTATATATAATCAAGAGATAATTAAAAATAAGAGAGTAATTTGGAAAATATAATTTGTACTTTTCAATTATCTTAATTTTTATGTTAGCATATTTCGCTTTAATTTTTCTTAATTATTGTTATTATGTAATTAAGAAAATATCTTCATATTTTTGTACTTAAAATTAGATAATTATAAAAGCAAAATCAGAACAGAAGGACAAAATATTTTTAATTATGCTTAATAAGTTTGGCTTCGTATCCAAAATTTGTTAAATCTGTTATCATAGTTGTTAGAGCATCGGAAGAAATAGATTTAAGTGGTGCACGAGGTAATCCTACATTGATTTCAGTAAGAAGAGACATTGCTGCTTTCATAGTCTGCACCCAATTGCCTACAAATAATCAATTCTTATAGTAACAATGTATTTTGTTAAATATATATATAAAAAAACAATAATTACCATGTTTTGTTATAACGTGTACAATACTTGAAAGTTTTTCCTGTATATTTTTAGCTTTTAACATATCTCCCTTTTTGCCAGCAGCAAGAAGATCCAGTGTAAGTTCCGGAAACATATTTATACTGGTCAATATGAAGGAGTCCATTCCTAGTGCACATGCAGCATTCACTAACTAGAATAAGAGACTAAGGTAAATATATTTATTTTACACTTAGAAATATCATATTAATTAAAACAAACACATTTGTTTTTCAAGATTTTTAAGTTTTAATTTTACTTTACCTGATCATTACCAAGAAAAACAACAAATTTCTTATTATTGGCATGTAATGCTTGTGCACCCTCTTCTAAATTAGCACTGGTAAATTTTATGCCCACAAATGATGGTATTTTATCACCAATTGATTCAAGAAATTGTCCCATGTGTACTAAAAAAAATTTATATATGATATGGATGTACTTAAAGATATACTAATACTAATTATATTTATTAAATTTACGATGCATATATTTAAAAAGATTGCTTACTATTAACATTGGTGAACATGGGAATATGGTAGTATAATAATGGTGTACTTGGTGCTGCCTTGCCAATCTTCTCCAAATATTCAGTTAATTGTTCAGGAGTAGTAGGTTTGAAATATAATTCTGGTAAACAGAGTATAGAATCTACATGTAGATTCTCTGCATGTTTTGCCTGTGAAATTACATTCGCTTTATTATTTAATCGTTATTCATTTTATGATAATCATGTAGTATTGTTGAACATATTATTCTGCATACATCAAGTATACTTTGTATGTTGATATTGCACTTACAAGCTCGATAACATCAGGAAGAGGAGCACCTCCTACTTGAATCATTAAGTGTTGCTTTGTATTTTTACTGCTTTTACCCAAGTTTTAGTAACGAGTTTTCGTTCATCAACAGACATTGATGTTCCCTCACCACTTGTACCATTGACTGTAAAATGATATATGACAAAATAAAATGGCAACATTAATGGCAATATTAATTTTAAAGTGAGAATGATCATATATCAGTGCCCTTTCAAATATTTTTAAGCAAATTATTTCTACAAAAATTTAATAATAAACACGTACATAAACATACAAATGCTATTGGGAATAAATTAGAAATTTTTCATAATAAAAATCACATACCAAGTATACCATTAATTCCTTTTTGCCAAATATTTTGCATATTGTGGTATAACATCCAAATTGAGAGATCTATTAAATAAATTTTGATCATCATTATTTAGTTTAACATTAACAATGTATAGAAATAAAATAATTACCCATCATGATTATAAGGCGTTAACACTGGCACAATAAGACCTCTGTAGGTATATGATAATCGCTGTAATTAAAAATTTAATTATCTCTACAATATAAAAAGTGTTACATTTTTTGTTTTAGTTATTTTTATTTATATTAATGATATATCTTTTATGTACATATATAAATCTAATACAACTGTATATCTGCTCGACAATTAAATGAATTTATTTTCTACACATTTATCTCTCTTATTTAAAAATAAAAATTGTATAGATTGTTAAAAATGTTGCGGTTTTATAAATAATTTTTATTTCCTATTCAACGAATATATTTTTAAAAACACTAGAATTGATTTAAATATAAAATTTAAACTTTTAAATTTATTTCAATATATTCAATTAATATTTATGTTTAAAAATAAAATATATGCATACAGTAAAAGAAACCATTATTTTAGCATTCTTCTTCGATTTTAAGACAGATTATAATATGGATATTTTCTATATAGACATTACAAGATATTTTATCAAAAATGTTTTTATAATCATATATATTAAATGTTATTTAATAATGATATATTTATATATGTATATATAGTATAATTGTCATTACTATTTTTCTATATTTTCAGAATATATCTTATTTAATCATTCCACACTGAATGATGACACTACAATTTGAGAGTTTCTGTGGTGCAGTATATGCGATTTGAGAACTTCTATAGTGCAGCACATATAAACTGGTGAGTCAATTAAAAATTTAATGAAAAAACATATGTGATTTTATCGTAACATCAATGTTTGTTTGCATTATATCGATATACATATATAGTTTAAACGTAATTTAATGGTTAATTACGTTTGCCAAAACAAAATCATGTTACTTGTAAATTTATATCACTTAATTTGTGATACGTATATGAACAGAAACAAATGCAAACTTTCAATTATTTAATAAATAACGTTTGTCTAATGTGTTTGATAAATTTTATGAATATTATATACTTACTGACATTGTTAATGTGAATGCAACTAGTGAACTGATAGCAGTTAGAAGCAGTTAGAATGAAAAGAAGTGACTAAATATACCATCTCCCCCCCCTTTGTCAAGCTCTGATAAGATTGATTGTCGTCTTATTTATAAATGTATTAAAGACAAACAGGTTCAAGTTGCAACTTCAAGGTCTGAGAAAGAAATTGATTAAATTTGAATTGAAACATTCTTCTATAGTTACTGTTAAAATGGTTAAAACGAATATACATAATTTAACAAATACAAACATTTTGTCTTATTATTTGCATAAAATGGAATCATTAATAATATATACAATATATATATATAAATGTATGTGTATATAGATAATTGAAACAATGACAGTAATACATTATTGATTTAAAACGATGACATTAATAATGTTTATTCGAAAATTGGACATAATGGATAAATACTAAAGAAAGATCTTTATGAAATTATTTTTATATATTTCAGAATTTTGAACTATTTTTATAATATTGTTTAATATTAATTATACATTTAAAATATAGTATAGTATTAATTGTTATCTTTGTTTATCAAACATGAAAATCAACTGAATATATCAGTATCTGATAGTATATAATGTGATATGAAACAGGAATTTACTTACATGATATGTAAAAACTTCTTTTGCATAAACTTAAATTCTTGTTTTATCCTATTTTATTTTTTATATAATCATAATTAAGAGTAAAAAAATACAATTTGCATCTTTTATTTATCTACATTCTTATATTAATGAGCTTTTGCTCATTATTAATTTTTAGAACATACTTTTATATTATTTTGTGCTTATAATAAGATAATTTATTATATGAAATAGAATAATCAAAATAAAAAGACAAAATATTTTCAATTATGCTTAAGTTTAGCATCAAATCCTAGATTTATTAAATCTGTAATCATAGTTGTTAGAGCTTCGTGAGAAATAGATTTAAGTGGTGCACGAGGTACTCCTACATTGATCTCAGTAAGAAGAGACATTGCTGTTTTCATAGCCTGCACTCTATTACCTGCAAATAATTAATTTTAGTAACAATGTACTTTGCTATATAAATACATATAAAAAACGATATTTACCATGTTTGGTTATAACAAGTACAGCGTTTGAAAGTTTTTCTTGTATATTCTTAGCTTTTAACATATTTCCATTTCTTCCAGCAGCAAGAAGATCCAGTGCAAGTTCCGGAAACATATTTACGATGGTCATTATGAAAGAGTCCATTCCTAGTGCACATGCAGCGTTTATCGTCTAAAATAAAAACCAAGGTGAATATAATCTATATTCCACTAGAATTAAAATTAATTAAAACGTATGCCTTAATTTTACGAGATTATAAAGATTTAATTTTAGTTTTTACCTGATCATTACCAAGAAAAACAACATATTTCTTATTGTTGGCACGTAATGCTTGTGCACCTTCTTCTAAATTAGTACTGGTAAATTTTATACCCACGAATGATGGTATTTTATCAGAAATTAATTCAAGAAATTGTCCCATGTGTACTATACAAAATTTATATAATCATACATACATCATACTTAAAGAAATATCAATATCGTCAATTATATTTATTAATTAAATTTACTATGCATATATTTAAAAAGATTACTTACTATTAACATTGGTTAACATAGGAATATGATAATATAATAATGGTGTACTTGGTGCTGCTTTGCTAATCCTTTCCAAGTATTCAGTTAATTGCTGAGGAGTAGTAGGTTTGAAGTATAATTCTGGTAAACAGAGTATAGCATCTGCACCCAGATTCTCTGCATGCTTTGCCTGTGAAATTACCTTACTTTTACTTTATTATTTAATTGTTATTATATAATCATATAATGTATATTAAATATTATTCAGCATACGTTAGTTATGTATCTTTTATATCTTAACGTAGTACTTACAAGCTTGATAACATCGGGAAGAGGAGCGCCTCCTACTTGAATCATTAAGTGTTGTTTTGTACTTTTCGTCGCTCTTACCCAAGCTTCAGTAACGAGTTTTCGTTCATTGACAGACATTGTCATCCCCTCCCCACTTGTACCATTGACTGTAAAATGATAGGTATATAAAATGTCAACATTAATATATTAGTTTTAAAATAAAAATGACAAATAAATCTGATCTTTGAATAATTTTTAAACAAATGGTTTCTACGAGAATAAACATAAATGCTGTGATTAAATATAGATTAGAAGTTTTTAATAATAATGACTTACCAAGCACACCATTAATTCCTTTTTTTGCCAAATATGTTGCATATTGTGGTATAATTTCCAAGTTAAGAGATCTATTAAATAAATATTAAATAAATATTGATTATTACTTAATTTAACATTGGCAGTGCATAGAAATAAATTAATTACCCATTACTATTAAAAGGTGTTAACACTGGGGCAATAAGACCTCTGTAGATGTATGATAATCGCTGTAATTATAAATGGAATTATCTTTATGATATAAAAAGTGTTTAATTTTTTGTTTTTGCCCATATTAATTAAAATCTTTGATATATATATATATATATATATATATATATATATAAGTAAAACTTTATGTCATGTATCTACTCAAGAATATTAATTTATTTTTTACATATTTTTATATTAAGATATTTTTAATATTATTTTTAATAATGATATCGATAACTATCTTTACTGTTTTTTTATATTTCAGAATATATCTTATTTGATCGTTCCACTCTGAATGATGACTGCAATTTGAGAAATGTTATGTACAGATGCGATTCGAGAACTTTTGTGTTGCAGTTTATATGCTTGAATTTTAAAAGGTAAGTCAACGCAAAATTTAATGAAACAATTTTATTTGTAACATTACGCAGCATATTGTCCTACGACATTTTTCTTATCAGTAATTATCAACATTAAAAAAATTTATGGTTCTAAAAGATTTCTGCCTTCTAAAAACAAAAAAAGAATTAATTAAGCTAAATAAAAGACAATCGGCAATCTGTATCTACAGATATTGAGATGAGATGCAGTTGATTTTTGAGAATTATATTTATTCAGAATTATATTTCCTCTCTCGCTTCATCATGCTACGCACTGACTAGTGCGCAGGCGCAGCTGTTCTCTCACTCCGGCTCCCCCACTCCACGTCTGTCACGTGACGCGCTCCCCACTCCGCGCTCATCACGTGACGTGCTCTCCGCTCCGCGCCTGTCACGTGATTCGTGACGCGTCGCATACCAGCGCCGCCTAGAGGTCAAAGTTGATTCAAAGTCGCACGCGTCAAGGTGCGTTCTCTCTCTCTCTCTCGCCACGATAATTAAGTATTGTACGAAAAATTCTTTAATTAAGGCAGTATTGTGCGCTAACATTAAACGCATTGAAGCATGCGAAACGTAATTATGAAGGACAACGCGTAGAATACTTTGATTGAAGTAATATTACGACTCGTAAACAAAGTTATATCTTTTCAAAACTAATCTCCTTCGAATTTTAATTAGTTACTAATATCAAGTCATGCTATCGCTCTCTATTAGAATGAAGGATATATCCATCTTTAATTCTAGCTTATATATTTATATCATGTATGTTATAATGCAAAAAATAAGATTGCTCTAATATATGTATGTATTTTATTTGTTGCAGGTAGCATTGTGATACGCAGTGCTATTTACGCGTCGTGTCGGGAGTGCCGTGTAAAGTTTCGCGTGTCGGGAGTGCCGTTGAAAGTATCGGACGATCGTATTCATGTTTTCGCGAGTGTCTTGAGTGCTACAAAGATCCAAGAGAGGAGGAGGAGGCCCGGGGAGGCATCAGGCGACAGTGGGCCAGGTGTGAGGTAAGCAAAAGAAAAACATTTTTCTAAACTCTATTTGTTGTGTATAAAATATTCATTTATAGATATATATATATATATATATATATATATATATATATATATATATATATATATACACCCACAGTATGTACATACATAATTTGAATATTTTGTTTTCAGATTCGTGTGCTGTATATTACAACTTCGCTATTGCACATATTGGTGAGTGAGAAATTGTTTATAACATTTCTATAGCGGTAATGAAGGTGTATAAAATTAGCGCTTTATTTCGTGGAGATTTATAAATAATTAAGAGTTGTGACTACTTTCAATAGTTCTAGAGTTCTCTCTAATTTTAGAATTATAAATCTTAAATTTTAATAATTATATTGATAAGGAAAATGTTTCGACAAAATGTTATGGCATATCAGTTTGTCCTTAGGCATTTTTTGGTTTGATCGCCAGGACTATTTGTTTAAAAGAATTCTAGATCTATTGAAAATAAAGTCAGAACTCTCAACTATTTATGATCTTTCACGAAATAATATACTAGCTTCACATACACTATATAAAGCTCAAAGTAATTTCAATTGATTAATCATGTTTGCCAACAAAATCATGTATTAATTATGTCATTTAATTTATGATACGTGTAATTATATGATGCACAGAAACGAGTGCAAACTTTCAATCATTTAAATAACATTTATCTAACGTGTTTGATGATATAATATTGTTAATATATTATATACTTACGGACATTGTTGATGAACGTAACGATAAAGTAAATCTAATAGAAGCAGCAGTGTCAAAAGAAGCGACTGATAACTGAATATACATTCCCCCTTCTATTGCCAAGAGTTGATAAGATAGATTATCATTTTATTTTGCAAAATGCATTAAAGACAAGCAGGTAAGTTAAAGTTAGGACTCCAAATGTTCGAGAAAGAAATGATTGATTAAATTCCAATTGAACATTTTTATATAATTATTGCTAAGATGAATATATAATTTAAAAAATTCAAATGTTTGATTACTTTCATAAAAATGGAATCAATAATATATACGAATGCAGCGGAATGCAGATAATTTAAACTTAAACAATGACAATAACATATATTATTTGTTTGAAAACAACAATATAATTTAATGGATGAATATCGGTCAATCATATATTTTTTATTCAACAAATTTCTTATCCGCTAATTAAAAATTCTCTTAAAACAAATCGAACTAATTAAAGTAGTTTTTAAATAGAAATGACATGTAGGTTAAAAGATTTTTATTAAATTTAATTTAAATTAAATATTTTCGTAATTTACATGTTTTAAGAAAATCAATATAAAAAATTAACTTTAATATAAATTAAAAAAAGTATATTATTATTATATTTTTTAAAAATATAATAGGAGATAAGAAATATAAAGGAAGAATTTGTTTAATATAATAACAACTGCAGTTATTTATAAAAATGCTCTTTATGTTTATTTACATGTAGATCCTTTTCCTCAACAATGTCAATAGTATTAATATATTATTGTAATAGTAAATTCGCTATAAGTTTCAAGATAGTGGCATGCTTCATTTTATTTGTTTAACGGATATTACATGTTTTTCTTTGTTATCGAAACGAGAACGGAAGCTACTCGAATGTTTATGTAATAACGCCAAAGAGAATTCTATTTAATGTTAGCTGCTACTCTTATAATGCTCCTTTTTATTTTGCAATAATTGCCACTTGAATGTGACGAGAGAAATGCTACGGCATATCGTATGCGTACTAGGGAAGAAGTTTCTTGTTTAGTAATAACATTTTTTGCCTCATAATCTTTCACGTCCACCCTTTTTATGCCTTTGAATATCATGTGTGATTTCATCATGGCGACTGTAATGCCTCTATATGGTTGCTCTTAAATATCTGTCTCTAGTGAAAATAGATCACCAGGGTGTATACTCCCTGGAAAAACCTAGGATAACCTGGAATTCTCAGAGAATTTTGTTTTACCTTCAAAAATCCTGGAATTATCATGGAATTTGATTTAAACTCAGGGAATTTTTGAAAAAATTGTCCTTTGATTTTAAAATATAGTTTTAAAAAATATAAAATTTATTAGTTTTATATAAAGTATATATTAAAATATATTTTATTATAATATAATACTATATTACATTATTATATTAAAAAAATATTTCATTTACTAAGTTAAAAAATTATGCATATGTAACAAATAAACTTATTTCAAAATTGTATTGTAAATATTATTTAAAATACTTTAATTTTACCTGGAATTTTAAACAAAAGTACTTGGAAAATCATGGAATCCTCAGAGAATTTATTTTTAAGATTCGAGTATACACCCTGATTACAAAGAAGAATTTCTTTCTCTTTTATATTAATCAAACTTATATCTGAAATTTAAAAAAAATGTGATCTTTCATGCATATACACACACAATGATAATAATAATTATTTGAAAATTTATATTAACTAGAAATAGAATAAAAGGTATCACACACACACAAATGTCAACATTAAGCCAAAATTATACAGTCGAATTATATAATTAGATATAATTCAAATTTAAATCTTACTGATAAAAATTTAAAAATATACGTTCCCGAAAGAATTTCACAGAACAGCAATGTTCTCTTTTGTATTTTTCACGACATTACATACTTTTTTTTTCTTTTTTTTTTTTTTTTAACACAGTGAATTATATAATTAAATAGTAGGCTAAATCATTGAACGAGATGAACGCTTCGGAAGTAGGCAACAAACGACAACAACTGACCTGGTTTTCGAAGACATCCCCTCTCCGAGAGTTATATAATTATATAATCATTATTATTATTCGGCGATTTAACTAATTACTGCACAGTTCGTTAACTCGCATATATATGTATATTAATTTTTGCCAACGGTTGTAATAAAGTACATCTTGCTGTTCGATGAGAACCGGAGAAAACCGTCGACGAGAGATGCGGGGATGTTGGTGAGGGAGGGGCAGCAATCGCTTACAAGATAAATGCGTTACGTATGTGATAAAAGTTTTCACACTTATGAAAAAGAGACAATATCTCGTATCGTATTTATACCTCGATTAGAGATCGACGCACCGCGCGTAGTCGGGCCAGCCCGATTGCGACGACATGCATCGCTTGTGTGTGTATTAATTAATCAATTTCTCTTTTTGTCCTTTTAATCACTCCGCCTCATCGTCATTTCTATCTTGCATTTTTCGTCTCGATTAAAGATAGTCTTTTTTTCCTTGGCTCCGAAATACGCCACGTACAAAAATGCAGCGCGTGGCTCGATGGCCTTTCCAGAATAATAATACGTATGTATGTATATATGTATCATATATATATATATATATATATATATATGCATATATGCGCGCTTTTTTATATCAACGTAACAGCTATCGAAGAATGTACGGATATGTACAATTAGGGATATGCCCGGCCGACACGTCGTTATTAGCGTCATTTGCTCGAAATAGTCGTTTCTCGCTCGAATCTTCTCGAGGATGATCTTTCCGTTTCGAATTTCCATTCTTATCCGAATCCTCGCGCCTCGTGTCTCTCCTCCTTTCTTCGTACGGACCCATACATTTATCGACCGACGAACAAACAAGGAGACTTAATACTGAATCGTTTACGTAGGATCAGCTCTTGCGGGAGCTCGTTCGATAGTGTCCTTAATCAGAATGGTCCCAAAAATATTAAGAAGTAATCGTTTCGTGCGCACGTCGCTGTTTAGACGCGTCTTTTTGAAGTCGGCCTCGAAGAAGAGGGAAGGAATGGCGAACGAAGGGTTGAAATCGTTGAAATCGAGCATGGGTGCCGTCGAATAGCGTTATTATAAGATAAAAGAATGTTCCGTTCTACACGCACTATATATATCAGTAATCTTTTATTTTTTGTCTTATATTTTACACGAGAGAAAGAATAAATTTCACCTAAAAATAGATAATAAATAATAAGTTAGTAGAAAGAGAGATATGTGATATATAAGTCTTATTTAAAAATTTATTATTTCTGTCGTATTAAAATTTCGTTATTTTTCTCATACTATATATTTTAACTGAATTGAAATTATTTATTTTAGATTAATTAAAATTATAATACTTTAATTAAAATTAAAATAGCAATTATGAAAGGGATATATTTCTTTTTTGATATTCAAATTTTGTATTATATGATAATATATATGTAAAAATAAAATATTACATATTGCACAAAGCTATTTTTTAGCTCTATCGCGATTAAAACTGCCCTACTAATTTGTCCAAATAAATTCTTGAATTTATATTTGTATTATTTATTCATACTTTTATCGCGAATAAATAATATATGAATTTTATTATTGATTATATAATGAAGTAGAGAGATAATTTACATAATAATTTTATAATCTCTATAATCTTCATAATCTAGAATAGTATATGAAGGATCAAAAAGTGTTCATGTGGCAGTTGAAATATTGAATTGAAGTCAAAGATAAAATTGCTGGAAAAAGTCGAATGTTGATTTGACGAATATTTTATTGAAAATTTTACCGGCGGCGTCCATGCTTTCGGAGTTTTGGTAATCACATGCAACTCGTTGCAACGAATGTTTACGACGTTTGCAACCAAGACGTGTTCGATAGACATTGTCCTCTTATATAGTCGATGATTCTCTCGATGCGGGGGTTTAGCCGGAGGTCCAAGGAGCGTCGAACATTAATTACAGTAATTGATTATTAACGTTATTAGTAGCCATTGTTCATTACTGCTATGTATATAATTTTTTTTGAAAATGCTGATATATGTATATATTAGATAAATACTGTTTCGGTATGTATATATATGTATAGCGGGATACATTTTGTGTTTTCTGATTTTTACTTATTTTATTGTTACTAAAAGGGTTGTTAGGTAAAGTGATATTTGTTGAACATTTGTAATTTTTATAAATAATGTTAGTTTTTCGCCGTCGACACATTTGGGAAATTTGTTTCGCAATGTATATGCATGTAGGTACGTGAGTGTGTAATAAAATGTATATAAATTTATTAAAACTGCGCGAGAAAAATAGATTTTAGATAGTAAGAAATTTTTTTTTTTTTTTTTCCGAAAAGAAGAAAGATTATATATGTACATAAAAGTATATTGGCAAAAAGAAAAAATAAATCAATCGAACAATATTTAGATATAAAAATATGATCTTTTAAGAATTAAGCGGACAGTGAAAAATATTTGCAAGAAGTCGCGGGGGATTTATTTATCGCTCGCAATATTGTCAAGTGCGCTGATAGATGTACAGTAAAAATATAAATCAGATGTTGACTATAGTTTGATCTGCGAAAGTGATTTTGTGATACGACAACAATTGCAATTTAACGGCACCTACGCGTATAAATACAATTGGCCCGTGTCTTCAATAGTTTGATTTACAGGCTGTATATTGGGCCAATATAAATATTGTTTTTTCTCGTGACTAGTCGTGTTCACCAAACTGTACCAATCTACAACTTCTAAAGAGATTACTTTATCGAACGACGTTTTTCTGTGTTCTATTCGAAGATATATATACAAATATAATTGGCCTGCTTGCTTGCGTTTCTCGTTTATTTTCTATTCCATTTGTCTGTTATTGTTTTTCCTGTATTTGGTCTCTCGTGGATATGTGATTATACGTATTTTCGAAGAAATGAGGTAAGGAGAAGGAAGTAGTATCCAAAAATATAGAGTCTCCAGTGAAGTCGCAAATCATCTCGGAGAAAAATGCAGAATTATCTGAATTATTAAATATATCTTTCTTAAACGGCGTTAAAGAGAGACCCGACTTTGTTCATATTAAAAGAAATCTCAATCTCTGTAAGAGAAATTGTCTCGAAAATACAAAATATCTGAAACGATTTGGAGGACTCGTGTGGAAGACACAGGGCAAAAAGTCTACGATTTCGCGACCTCACTGGTTTGTGACGTCAGGTTCCTCATTGTGTTTCTCATTAGCTAATTAACGTTAGCAAAATTATATTTTCGAGAAAATTAGGCTGCCGGTCTCGAGTGTACGACGATACGCATCCGAATGCATTTTTCGTGCGAGAAAAATAATTTAATAGAATGATATAGCACACTCGAACGCGAGTTTTCATCGACACTCCTTGGTCTCGTATATATTTATATTCTACGTATATATATATATATATATATATATATATATATATATGTATGTATTTGTATTTATATATATATACGTTCGCTAAAACAGTTAGGAGAGAGGGACGGTAATCGAGAATGCAACACCGATCTACCCTCTAGCATTAACAATATATAATAAATACGATCTCTCTCACACTCTTTCTCTTTCTTTTTTTTTTTTTTTTTTAAGTAGCAACATTCAAAATACAATTACATTACGATGCTCTTATCGGATTCTACTCAAATTCCTTATCATATGGTTGACTAGATGCAAAAAGAAATGATCAACATTAATAGAGCGATCAAACAAAGTGCGATAACAGCGATATATTAAACTTTTTTTATTACGAAGCTCCGCGTGAAAGCGTAACTCGTAAACACTTCAGGTACGACGTAAATGATAAAGACGATGCGCTTACAAATAATGAGAGAAGTCACGTAAAGGAGTCGCGAAGACTCTTCTTCGTGGATTATACGATTGTAGTATCGATCAAGACAGACACATATCTGTCCGGATGTTTCAAACGGAAACACGTTTCAAACGGGGAAGCACTTCCGATAGGTCTTAACATATGTACGAATGTTGCTGATCTACGTTCACTTAGAATCGTACGTCGTTTTTTTTTTTCTTTTTTTTGCTTTTTTGGCAAAAATGTGTGGGGGAAATTGCGCGGCGCTCTCTCTTTATTTCGTTGTACAAAAATAATAAACTCAGGCGCAACGTGGCACTAATTATATTTTTTTTTCTCGACGCGCCAGCGCGTCGATCAGACGCCGACTTTTGCGTCCGACGAATTTTTTTTAATTGCAACAAAATCAATATATCCGCATGATGCTTCGACTTCCAATAGCTCGTCAGAGAAATTAAAGGACCCAAGAGTCGTCGCTTTGCCACTTAATGATTGTGCGATCGTTATGCCAGCGCCGAATTATGCGCGATATCCTTTGTAATTCGTGAATGAAATTCGTGGAAGAATTCGTCAAGTTCAGCCGATCGGATTTTTTAAAATATTATTCATGAATCACGAATTGTTGCAGATCACGTATAATCTGACGCTAGCATCACTGGTTGCTGCAGAGAGATCAGATATGCTACAATATATTAAGATTCTTAAAAAATGTTTAAAAATGGCGATATAATAAGTTATCTTCTCGATATCGCCGATTTTTTCTTTTAAATCTGATTGATCAATGTTGACCTTATAGTGACTTGATTAATCTGACATTTTGCTCAAGTATCGTGCGCGAAGATAATTGCACACGTAATTAATATCGATTAATTAAGAATATAGTTATTTTCATTGATGCAGAATTATTCTACTTTTTAAAGAGAATTAACTTTTTTCTTTCGTTTCTTTTATTTTTCTTGTATAATAACGCCGCATGATAAAAACGCGCTGTCTGATATTTCTTGAGTAACGCGATGATATTGAATTATTCTGATCGTACCCTATCATCATCCGACTTAATGACTGACTGATTGTAACTTCTTTATTTGTGACACTGGTATTGTGAAGATTCTAGACAACGTAAGATCTTTCGATTTCCTTCACGGCAGGATCGGCGGCATGAATAGTTTCGTCAGGATTCAGAGGACTATAGCTTCCAATGAATAAAATTACAAGTTTAGAGCTGACTTCTCCGAGCGGCGAAGATCGATGATATCGACGTCGCCCGAGACTGCCACTATGACTTCCAAACTCTCAATTTCCTTAACGAGACCTTCTTCAAGTGAAGAACAGCGTTCGGTATATCGAATTCGCGCGCGTCCTCCCCGTCGGAGTGAACCTCTCGTCTACGTCCTGCTATCAGCAATCGATGTCTCAAGCCTCTGGAGGTCGGGTCCGACAGCGCTTCCGAAACCGGGACTTTTTCCTTGCTCGAGCCCGGCAGGGATACGGATCTGCCGACGGAGAATCCTTTGCTGAGCCTGTCCAGGGTCGCGGGCAACAAATGCCGCCTCGGAATCGCCTGCTCCCTTTCCCTGAGGATGAATCTGCCGAGGGTCTTCCAGAACGCCTGCGTGCTGTAAACGTTCTCGTCGTCGTTCAGCACCCTCAGCTGACGATTTCCGCTTCCGACCGCGCCGGCGCCGCCCCATTCCAGCTCCTCGATCAGGGCGAACTTGGACGGGTTCTCCATTCTTCTGGCCTTGATCAGAGCCTGAGCCAATACGTCCTGCGCCGAGGCGCTCACCGGTACGCGTAGAATCGCGTAAGGGATCTCTGGCGAAACGTTGTAGATGCAGACCAAAAAGGTGTCCGCCTCGTCCCATATGTGGGTGGATTGGTCCCTCGAGTTGGAGTCGTTGAGCTTCGAATGGGCGGCCGTGCTCCTGATGGAGGCGAGCCAGGCTCTGCTGCTCGGATCGTCGCCCACTCGCTTCAGAAGGAAGCGACCTTGACCCTTCCACAGGGCCTGGGCCTGAAGTGGATGCTCCGTAGGATCCAGCACGCGCTGAGTCGGCAATTCTTCCCGTTCTCTTTTCTCCCATCCGCGAGACACTTCCTCCACCAAGATGAACTCGTCTACGTGATCGGGCGATATCCCGGCCTTCTGTAACGCTTGCAGCATCACTTCCTGCGTGGTACTCTCCTGAGTCACCTTCAGAATGGTGTACGGTTCGTCCGGTATCACGTGGTAAACCATCAGGAAGAACATCCGTCTCTTCAGGGTGACGCCACCCAGACCGGGATCGACTGTGCTTAATTTCTCGGGTTCTTTGCCGGACGAGAGACGCTTAGAAGACTCCTTGTGATCGCGACAGCATGTGTTGTAGTCCAGACTCTCCTCCTCCAATCGGGAATAGATGAAAAGCGTGGACAGGGCCAGCGGTTTGTTCTTGCAAGATCGTAATCGTACGTGTCGATAGCCTGGTCGTAAACACTTGAGCGGGATCACGCGTTGCGCGATTAGGTGATGGGAGCTCGCCTCGACGACGCCGAAACGTAGAAACGCGAGGTCCTTGAACATAACTTGGAAGCAGAACTTCTCATTCCAGATGGGATTCAGCGCATTGTTCTGGATGACCTTTGTCTTGTGCTTCGCGCAATCGATCGGTATGCCGACCAACTCGATCTCGACGTACGTGCTGGTGACGAGGTTCATAGGTGAAACGTATTGTCCCGAGACTATCGACAGACTCAAGTGCGCAGAGTGCAGCCCGTCAAACTCCTTGTCCCAAGGATTGAACCGTCTGTCAAGACACATTTGCAATCGTTAGAGAACATTTTCGAGATAATTGCTAGATATATATGGTAGTCGCTCGCAAATCATTTTATTTCGTTTTCATTACTTTTTTTATATAAACACATTTTTTCTTATAATAAAGATCCATTTTTGTAATAATATGCAAATTAGAATAAATTATAAAAAATATTATTTGTATAATATTCACAAATTAATCGATCTTTTATAACACGGTAAAAACACGCACGTGTATTTTTCATTTCTACGTATTAAAATAATTTTTGATTAACACAAAGTAGAATAATAAATTTAAAAATTAAATATTTTATTCCAACTTTAGAGGTAAAATTATTAGATTATAATTTATAGATTAACGTATCATTTAAATGTAGAATATATTTTAGGTTTATCTACTTTCCTTTTGATCAATATTTATCTAAATTGATTGTAAATTGCTAATCGATAATGGAAAAATTAATTAGCAAGAATTACTTTTAATTTAGAAAATAATTATTCAATAAAGTAAACGTATAAAACTATAACACACTAATTATTAATATCGAATACGTTAATTAATTTCCATATAATTATTAAATCTAATCTTTATTGTATGCGATGTATAGGATAAATTGTGATATGAATTTTTACCTGTACATCATATGTCCCTTGTCCCACATCACCGAGGGCTTTCTAACGTATCCACATTGACCATTTTGCTCAAACATGGCTGCGTTCAGATTTAATCCCGCGTCATCGGTTTGATAGTTCAACGCGACCATTTGAATTCCGAAAGCCCAAAATATGACCGGATTGAAATTCGTGGAATCGATACGCATTCCTGCAGGATATGTTCGGATCAATTGAGTTTCTGCGTGGGCGACTACGCCTAAGGGTTGCTTCCTGCAGATCTTTTTCGCCGTACTCTCGTTCAAAGACGAACATTGGAAGCAAGCTGGCATTCCGCGAGTAGATCTAATAACACGAGAATAAAAAATACATTTTATATTTTTTGTATCGAAATTAATCATTCTTATTGAACAATGATTGCCAAAATATTACTATATTGCCGATTTGTAAAATAATGAAAATTCTAAAATAATATATGCAAAGAGAATAATTTTGATTAAATTAAAAAAAAATTAGATGATGAGAAATCTCCGATGTAAAAATGATAAAGACATAGAATCAAAAATATTGACAAAGAAAGTTCTCCGAAGAGAATATGAAAGATATAAAAATACGTAAGAGATATTTTTGATGTCAGATATAAATATATATCGAATTTGTCAAGTATTTATTTAATCGAGAAACTAACCTGAAGATGTTCTCGATGTTACTGCCGCCGCTCGCGATCGAGGCGGACGTCGAGAGAGATTGCGGTGACCCTGAAGAGGATGCTATACTGCTGGGTCCTATACCGGCAATGCTGTGCCTCTGTACCGGCCCCGTATGCGAAGGATGTCGTGTTTTTCCTGGCATCGCAGTCCCGGGCGCCGTGTTCAATCCGCGAAATTTAATCGCCTGCAGATAAATCACCAGATCCGACAGCTCCTTGGCTATCTGACTGCTCTGTTTTTGCGACTTGTCATCCACCGCCGGATCCGATTTTAAACGAGGGTGCGGTACTTGGCTGCCGCCTAGATACCTCTCGTAGCTCGAGATCGAGTTGTCTGTAAATTGCATAACCAAACGGTTCGCGATCAATTTTTTTTATCATTGTTTTGGGGAAATATAGGTCTCTACTCGAGATTAATTTGATCACATTTTTCCAAGCACAGTATTGATAATATATGTATATGTCGGTTATTAATTTTACCATCGATATTATCGTCCTCATCATCGTCCTCTTCGTCATCCTCGTCCTCGCTAAAGTACTCGACGACTGATGTACTGCTCACGTCAGTCCGCATCTGCTTCATAGAGGATGCGCGATCCGACATGAGCATCTTTCCGCGATGACTAAGAGGCGTATGCGACAACGGTCCGGTAGGATCGACCACCAGTTTCTTATTTTTTATTAAAATTCGGTAACGAAGTTGCGAGGGCGAAGGCAATTGCGGGTCATCGCTGAAGTCGGATTCGTAGAGAAATTTTGTCACCAATTTCTCGCCAAAAACGGACTGGAATAACAGAATGAAATATTCCTCGATTATAATTTAATCGCGCTTACGATGATAATTAATCTTGGGAAATTAATAAGTGTACCTGAAATATCTGCGCCATTCGAGCTTGCTGACTCGGCGAACAATGGTTCTCGATGGAGAGAATCACGGGATAAGGGGAACTGACGAAGGCGCCTCGATCGATCGCCTCCACGACCGATCGGAATGGTATTTTGGTAGTAAATGTGTGACCGTGATAAATCAACGGGGATCCGTCGTCACCGTCCCAACAATCGAGTTCCACGCAACGACATCCGGTTAAAAGCACCTACATAGATGTTATTAATCATTAAATTTAGTCCCTAAATATTATTTATTTTATCGGATAGAAAAAATTCGTTCTCTCTAACTAATCTATTTTTTTTTTTACATTTAAATCTTTTTTCTATTCGCAGAATTTCAGAGATGCTATTTATTATCTATTCTTAAATCTTGAATAATTGCTATATGTATAGAGGCTCTTTATACAGGGTATATATCTAAATCTAAATAAATGTGAAAAATTTTAGATGATTCTTTGTTAAAAATTAAGGAGGGTTTCTTATATATAAACAAATGCTCTTATATCCCTCCCTGAGGAGTTACACTTTTCTAAAGAGAGAGGTAAAAATTAAGTTTTTACTTTAAAAAAATATGGGTAAATATCCTTTTTATTAGTAGAAAATTCAAGTTTCATTTTTTTAAATCTGAAATTTGAGAAAAAAATAAAAACTTAATTTTTATTATAAGAGACCGCCCTTAATTTTCGAGAAAGAATTATCTCCTAAAATTTTTCGCATTCACTTCCCTGTATATATAATAAAAATAAAATATCTGAATTTAATTGATATTAAAATATCTATTATTATAAAATTCAAATAGCTATTATTCGTGAGACGAAGTTAATTTAGAAAATGACAATTCACCTGTGAATATAATTGCACGGAGGACTCTCCTTTGAGTTGATGCCCGGTCAAATAAGTGTTATGGGAGCTAGCGATGTAATATTGCGACAGGGGCTGCTGCATCTCGGTTTCGGACGGTGTCGCGTACTCGTTCGGAAAGGCATAATTGTCCTTGTCCATCATATATCGCGCAAAACCCTCGAAAGACAAACACCATTGTGTGCGAAGTGCCGGGTCCGGTTCGTGCCTCTGAAATGAGAGTAAATAGACTTGATTGTATTAGGTCGCATGAGCATGCGTATTGCAATACGGTGACGGTCGTGCGAGGGAGATTGACGTCTTCTATTTATCGGACAAGGCAAATTGAGATCAAGCGAGTGTCCTCGAAATCGTGAAATCCGTTATAATTATTCAGACATGAAAGGAAAGATTGTATTTTATGTTTTTTTTCGCGAAATTCTAAACAGACACGTGTACGCTTGATAATATCAGGATATTAATTCTTGTGAAAAAATATGTTGGAGAAATGAAAATGTCGATAATGATTTTATTTTAATGCAAAACTTCTGAAACCAGTAAATATTCACCTTAATGAGCGTCTTGATTTCCTCGTCGCTCATTTTTTCCTGCTGCCGAGACTCCAGGAATTTTGTAAACGTCGCCAAAGTGATTACTTGAGATTTCGATGTATCCACGCCAGAACAATTATTGACTATGCTTGCCGCCGCGACTGCATCAAAAACCTGCTTCTTTTGCAGATTGCTGCTCGTCTTATATTCATGACAGTCGATAGAGTTGTTTCTTGTCAGCAAACCTGATTTAAAAATATTGATCTCATTTTTAGATATAATTGAATAATTAATAAAAAGCTTAATAAATATTTGAAAGTGTTATTTAATACTGAAGTTAAAATCGATACAGCGGGTTCTATTTTCGAGAAAAAATTACAAATTATACTAATACATTATACAATAGTACTGTATAGTCAATGAAAAAAATTTTTTTATTTTTAATTTTCCATCTATTTGAAACTATTATTGAATGAATTAATTCATACATTTCCAAAATTGATTATCTCATTTCTATATTAAAATTGAACCGCACTGAAATTTTCTATCGGCTAATTCTTATCCGAGGCTTACCGATCCTTTGTGGAGTGGCATCACTAGTCTGTCTGAGCACCGCTGGTCGTAGTCCCTGGCTAAAGTCCCTTAATGATCCGTCACTTTGACTACGGCACGTGATCGCTAATTGGCCGAATAAATCTCGCAAATCTTTCCTGGCTCGTAAGCTGAACGATCGGAAAAGTGCGACAAACTCCACAAAGTTCAATTGCGTTTCATACATGATCGAAGTGGTACGTGCTTTCACTTGCCAAGTGGCCTCTGAGCCACCAGGTATACTACCGGATCCGTTCTTGTCCTTTTCTCTGGTAACACATAATAAACTAAGCGCGCGTTATTAGCATATTGCTCAGAAATTCAAATAATCATATATACGTAATTCTTTTTAATTGAAAATTTAATAAGTTTATATTGAATATATATCATTTTTTAATTACAAATTTAATAAGTTTATATTGAAATAATATTTAATATTCACCATTTTTTTTTACATTTCCTGAATAAGTTTTATTCTGCATTTTATTTCGAACTAAGTTTTTACTCAAAATCGATAAGTAAAAAAAAATAAATTTAGACATAAATAGGTATATATTAAAAAGACGACGTACTTTTGAAAAGTGGAGTACGGGAGCAAAGAAGCGACCATACGATCAGCGGAACCAGGCGGGCTACGCGGTGGAATTCGGTCTCGACTAGTTCTTGGCGATGCTGGTAGGATCCTTGTTAAAGATTCTCTACTCCCCGTGATATGACGAAGCGGTGTAGTCGACGATACACCTTCTTCCAAGGTCGTGGTGTTATATTGTTTTATACTCAAATCCTATCAAGATTTAATTCGAATATATAACTATATATAAACGAAAATAAGGTACACGATTTTTTTATTATACAGAGAGAATTTTCTCTTAAAATTTACCCTGAAAATCACATGGTAATCATAGGATAATTTGATATGGAAAAATTTTATAAGAGTTTCTCTGATTAATATTTACCACGATAAAAAATATTAATCTACCAATAAGATATGAAATGTGTTCGATTAATTTTACTATATACATATTAATATTTTTTACTGTAATAAATATTAATGAGAGAAGCTCTTCTAACATCATATTGTCCCACGATTACCACGATTTTCAGGATAAAGTTTAAAAGAAAATTCTCTGCGTGTATAGAATTATCGATTTGCATTTCGTGCAAAAAGTGCAAACCAAATCTATACGTACCTTGGTTAAAGCATGAATATTGCCAATAGATTTCGTCTTTTTGCCTTTAACGTTTCGTCTACGTAGAGTGCTGCTGCTCGTTGGAGATAGTGTGCCAACACTTTCTGTCATGGACCAGTCGCGACCTCCGAAAACGCGGATAGCATCGGCTGTCGTCGGTTGTTCCAAGCCTTCTATCGGCTGTTCGAAGTAGGAAAAGTATAATTGGAGATATTTCTCTTTCAACCAGCGTGATCTACGATCTGTTAGTTGTTGTTGTCGTTTGAGGCCTCGCAGTATCCAGCATAATCCCATATACCATATTCTGAAAGCCAAACAATGTATACACGTATTATGCATAATTTGTATAAACAACCATATGTACACAATTATATCATATATAATTCCACAATAGTTGTAAATTATTAAAGAGAATCGACAAAGCACGAAATATATATGGTGTAAGCTTGTTATTATTATAATTCTATATATACAATTTCTCGATATAATACACTATTATCGCATTATTAATGTACATATATCATTATTAATATATCCAATATTTTGGAGACACATTAATATATTAATTCATTTTTTGCGTAATCAATTATTTATTACAAATATATTTCTAATTTTAAATTAGATTGTGAAATAAAATACAATAACTTTCAAATTATTTTTTTTTCTAGATTAAAATTAAACTAGAAACATTAAAAAATAATCGTAAAATTCGCTATACATATAATAAAACACTAAAATCGTTTACACGAATACTTTTCGCATTCTACTAATTTTCTAATAGCGAATTCGATTAGATGCACTAGTGCACACTGAGTGCACATAAAGATTATTGCACACAATTTTACAATGACATAAATAATTGAAAAATTAAAATAATTAAAGTAAGATCTATTATTATTATTATTTATATTGAAGAACAATAATAAAGCTCTTACTATTAATTATTTTCCTTCTTTAATTACTTGTGTCATTGCGAACTTGTGTGTGATAAACCTCTATATGCACTCAGTGCATCCAATCGAATTCGCTATAAGTTTTGGAGACACATTAATATATTAATTCATTTTTTGCGTAATCAATTATTTATTACAAATATATTTTTAATTTTAAATTAGATTGTGAAATAAAATACAATAACTTTCAAATTATTTTTTTTCTAGATTAAAATTAAACTAGAAACATTAAAAAATAATCGTAAAATTCGTAACACTTACTTGTTAAGAGAGGGAGGGCAGAGTAGGAAGATCAGTCGATTGTCCGGAAGATTCGATCCATACATGAGGCCGATACAGGAGTCGGAGCCCGGTAGGCCGTATCTCTTGCAGATGCTCCTGAGCTCAGCCTCTCGGTCGCGATCGCTGCAGCCGATCATTATTTCCTTCACCGATCCCAGGTCGAGGTATCCCTCTTCCAAGGTGACAGAAGCGCAATCGGTTTGCGGCTGCGCGTACCTGCCGACTAGGCCCGCCGGTACCGTGTCCTCCGGGTTCGAGGTCAGGGAAAATTCTCCGAGAGCGGCGCCGCCGACTTGCGCCGTTTTCAGGGGACTCCAGGGTGGTCTTTCCCAGACGAAGGTGCTGCAGGCGCGATCAACGCGCGCGAACACCAACGCCGTTCTCGAAGTGCCACCCTCGCAGTCCCAGTGCACCAGAGTCGTGCCGTGGTGTAGCACCTGAAGTAGAAAAATATGGAAGATGTAAATTTAGAAAGTGTCAATTTATTATAAAGTAGTAATATCGCTGCGATATATTTTGTATCACGTCAGTTTAGATAGAAGTATCACAGATTTTTAACAGCATAGCTTGTAACGAAAAATAACGTTTAAACTTAAAAAGAAATAATCATTTTCATTTTAATTTTTTGTACCGAATGTAATTCCGGTCTCGAAAAGTTTTCTCGTGTCACCATTCTTTTTTACATCATAAAAACTTTAAAATTAAAATTGTAACTGTAAGTGTATAAAGAGAAAGGAAAATAGAGTTTTTATCGTACATCGGTAGAAACATATATTTCATTTGAAATATGTATAATTTGTGATATGTTTGTATCCGTCATTTCGCTCAAAGCTGTTGTTTCGCTGGTCCTTTATACAATTGGATTTCACTACTGTAATGATATTATTTTCCAAAACGGGGCGTAGGCGCCTGTGTGGAAAATATAAATATATTAATTTCAGAGCGTGCAAGGCATTTCGCTATTACGAGGTCGTTTTTGCAACTGCGTCACACCAAGCTTCTGTCCCGACAAAGTATGTGCGAGACGTTGTGAGTGCATTTATAACACTAATGGGACTTGTAATGCATTTATGACGGCGTTTATGCGTTTCTCTCCTTCTTTCTTTCTCTTTTTTCTGAATGCAATGCAGATACTTTTTACGCGTTCACAGGGTGTGCATGAAATTGTTTGTTGATGGATAATTGCTGGAATTCACAATACACCGCGACATATAATACACAATGAATACTGCGCTTCGGATATCATTAAAAAAATATTAATATAATAGATTGGTATCAGAGATATTGAAATTTTGACGAGTTTAATGTTACATGGTAAAATGTATTTTATATACAATTATCTCATTTTCATCGGCATACAAAAACAGATAGAATTTATACGTGTCGAAACTCAATAATCATACCACTTTTAATGAATTTTAATTTTTCGTTGATATCAATGTGAATAAATGAGAAAGGTGCGTATTTAATTAGTTAATTTGTTTAAATTTATATCGTAATGTCAGTGCAATCTTTGTTTATCTTTTACTTCATCTTTGCAATTACATTAAATTATTCTTTAGATTTTTTACATTTGGCCGACGCAATTTTTCATTAAAAAATATTTTTATTGAAATGTCAAAAGATTATAATTTTTATATAATGGTTTATTAGAAATATGCCGATTCGAACATAAGCTTCCATTGTGTTTGACATTTGTCCGACATTTGAACTTCTAACAATGCTTTTAAAATTATATAACTAAATATTCAATTATGTAAAATATTTCAAAAATATATGCTTTAATTTATTAATTTACTTAAAAGAATAGAATTGCCAAATATATAATGTTAAAAATAAAATATTAATTTTTTAAATCAGAAAGATTTACATCAGTTTGAAGTCAAAAGGTTTGATAGATGAAAATAATCGCGATTGTTCGTGACTGAAGCGCGCGATACTCAACATTATCGCCATTATTGTGTATATATCGCAGAAAACGGGCTGTACGTTCACGTCTGGCTATATGTTTACATTTCTCAGATACTTAATGGTGCTAAATCAATTATTTTTACGAGATACCATCATTTGTAGAGGGATCGGGTCGAATGAAATAACGTAACTTCTTCTCGAAATAGCTACATACACATATCTTACTCGACGTATAGTCAATAGATCACACGTTATTTATTTAGTAAGAAAAAAACTCTGTTTAACGGTTGAGAGAAACGACTCACGATTATCGTTTGTACTGGAATTTCATGACAGGAGGATAACGAATTTATTCGTTATGAACCATTTTCTCCGCAAATACGTCGCGTTCCATTTTTCCCTCTTGCCACTCAATTAACGCTGACAATTGGTGGCACGATTCAAAAGGATGACCCGGTTTTTCGTGCTGCGTTACATTTTTTTTTTTTATTTTTTCATCGGTCTCGCCAGTTTTTTCTCCCTCGTTTTCTCGTTTCTCCCGCATATTTCTCTGTTTTCTCTCTAATTTCCGCGAGGCATACCAGGAGTATGGGCGTTAAGGCTGGTCCCTTTGAAATCCTTTTGACGTGCGGCAATCTACGTACTGACGGTATCTCTTATCACAGTAGCGCAGCGTTATAGAAGCTACATAGCTGTGATATTAATACATATTTCGAAATATCGTTCACGAGAGTAAAAAGATATTTTTACGTTGTGTATCGATTTCTCACGCGTTCTTTCAATACTTTTTAATGGTATAATTAATCTGTGCACTCTATATATGACTTTAATATACTCTTACATATGTACAAATTATTTATTCTTTATTTCGATAATATATATAATATATTATGTCACAAAAACAAATAGCAAACGTGGCACGAAAAGTCAATATCTGGCCTTCTTTTGTGATTCGTATAGCTTAAACGGAAAACTATATACGATCTGAGGATCTCGTATCGTTGCTATTTCTCCTCGACTATCGATATCAAAGAAAAAAAGACGTGTTTATTTAAATTTCAAAGGCGGCCTTGGATTACGTGGCAAAATAGCGACAGGAATTTCTCCCTAGCGTCATGTGTACTTAAATGAAAAGAGAACACACGAATCATATCTTGGATTCATTTTCAGTTATATAATTTTACATCGATTGAAATTTACAATTTACACTTGGTTTGTAAATTTCTATTCTTTATATTCTATTCGCATAATATCAGGCTCAAAATTGATAAGAATATCTTTTAAATTTATAAATTATTATTTGTATTCAAATTCTATATATTACAGCCTAATATACAGTTCATTTCTGGATTTGTATCGATCATGATTATAATAATAGTAAATACGAATGTTATGTCCTATTTAAGTAAATGGAACTGCTTCAGATATAAAAGACTCTTCTTCTATATAAAAGCTCTGAATGTGATATCGTTTTTCGCTTTATAGTATTTCAATTTTTGCTTTTCGGGTATGTAGGTTTTTTTGTGACGTTATATTAAATTCATATTTACTTCGGAGCTACTGCACACACACTTTAGTTAAAAATAGAATAATATTTTTTATTTATTTTAGATAGAAAGGGAAAAGGAGAGATACTCGCGACTCTGACGTCAAACATTTTCCACGAACGTTAGATATTATAATTGTTTTGCCTTATTTGTCGGAAGAAATGACAGTTCAAAGAATCATTTCCACAAAGGATTGCATTGCACGAGAGGGTCTCCTTTATTTCGCGGCAATGCTGCTAATTCGCGACGACGGTCATTGGATCTCTATTGTTCGATGATTTTTTTTTTCCTCGTAACGTGTAATCTGCTAATTACCCATTGTTAAACATTATGGCGCGATGTATAGATCACACGGAAAACCACGTCAATGTTACTGCACGTCATTATCCGATTCTACCGCAACCGTAACAGAGCGACGGGATCAAAAGCGTCGCCGGCATCGCGTCGCATTGTGCAACAAATCCTGCGCGTTCAATATTTGCGATGCACTCCACGTGCAGTATCGCAATGTCACGTATACGAATTGGCAGTTTCGTTGTATAACGCAATGTCTCGCAGTTCCAAAACGACGATCTCAGATAGTGTGTGTGCGTGTGTGTGTGTCTGTCTGTATGTGTGTGTGTGTGTGTGTGTGCTCTCAATGAGTGTCTGGATGCGACATAGGGAACGAATGTCATCTTAAAGCGGAAACTGCATGCATGCATCGCATTGAATCTTCGCTAACTGTTGTTAACAGTTATATCAAATTTCATTAAGTTGCAACACAGTAATTTTAAGTAGAATACACGAGAATTAAGCAGGGTGTCTAGCGGTGAGGAAAATCTGGAAAACCGGGCATTGTCAGGGAATTTTATAAATCTGGAATTGTCAGGAAATTTTATTATTTATCTGGATTTTGTCACATTCTACGTTTGTCTCAATAATTTGAAATTTTTTATTAAATAAATATAAACTTTTCCTTGATTCCTAGCACGCTAATTTTCTGTGTTGTTAAAAATCGATTCATCTACAGCGTGTTTGTTAATTTATATTTTATATTTTATCGTCGTGTTATTTTATTTCAATGTGTTTGATAGAGATAAAACTAAAAAATTTGATATAATATAAATAAAAAAGGTGGTTATATTTAAATAGTTTATATAGTGACATGTTTGTTTCGATTATCGTACATAATGCAGATTGTATAATTGATTTAAATTTTTTTTAAATTTTTGACAAAAATATCTCGAGAATTTCATGATTTTAACATTTAATTGATTTATCATATGCAAATGATATATTTGGAAAAAATAATACTAAAAAGTCGGAATTTTTTTCATTGAGTCTGCTGGACACCTGAATTTAAGGGAAGTAATTACTTGATTAGAAAATGCTTATCTTTTGTTATTCTATAAAATTTCATCTGTCTCTGCATGAAGAACAATTTGTGAGAGTATCATTTATTTATACAATTGTGATTCGTGAAACTGGCCGAGAGCCTCCTTCATGATACGCGATATCCGCATTTCGGATAATGAAATGCGCAGATTGCTCGCAGAATGCAGCAACATACCTGCAGAAGATGAAGATCCATGCCGGCGTGCGGCGCGGCAACAGGAAACAAAGCGACTCCATGATCGATCTTGATCGGCTGTACGGGCTTGTAGGAGTCCAAATCAAGATGATAGTCGTTCTCATCGCATTCCTCCGCCATGTACGTTTGCTCGATCGCAGTCGTGTGAATGCTCAGGGTGCGATGAAGGGAGTCTGTAGTCGCGTCTCTGCCACGAGCATGTCGATGCTTAAAAAAAATAATTCCTCGGTAAATTACAATATTTAACATATCGCGCGTATAGGTACATATATCGAAAAAATTGCTCGATGTTTTTTACATTTTTATACAAATATTTTATATTAGTTTTGAGTAAATGAATGAAACAAATTGTTGGATTAGTGAAATCTGACGTTGCATTAATGTAATATTTACTTGAAGCAAGCAAGTTTCTCGTGTGTGTGAATCTGGCATATTATTAAAATCATAAATAATTGAGAGTTTTAATTCTATAGAGTTCTTCAGTTTAGTTTAAACAAATAGTTTTGGCGATTAAAGAAAATGCTTAAGGACAAATTAATATGTCAACTTCACGCAGCATATTATTTTATTTTGTGGCATTTTCCTTATCAATAATTATCAGGATTTAAAAAAATAGTTCTACATGAGTTCTAAAGAATTCTGCCTTCTAAATTTTTTTTAATTAAGGTAAAATTAAGACAATAGGATATCTATATCTATAAATATTGAGAAAGACCAGTCGATTTTCGAGAATGATACTTATAAAGCTATATCTTTTTGAACGAATCTCCTCCGAGTTTCAATTAATCATTATCTATCGTTAATTCTAGCTTACGTATTTATATTGTACATGTTATGATGCAAAATAATATAAGATTATTCTAATATATGTATGTATTTTTTTGTTACAGGTAGCCTTGCGATTCACGCGTCGTGTCGGGAGTGCCGTGCAAAGTTTCGCATGTCGGGAGTGCCGTTGAAAGTGTCGGGCGATCGTAATTATTCGTTATTTTCGCGAGTGTCGTGAGTGCTACAAAGATCCAAGAGAGGAGGAGGAGGCCTGAGAAGGCATCGGGCGACAGCGGAGCAACTATAAGGTATGTGAAATAAAATTAAAAAATATATATCTATACACTCACACACGTGTATATATATAATTTGAATATTTTATTTTCAGATCAAAGTGCTGTGTTCTACAACTCCGCTACTGCCCGGTATCGGTGAGTGAGAAATGGTTGATTTTTAAACATTTCTATAGCGGTAATAGGGATGTATGAAGTTTCATTTTGTGGAAATTTATAAATAATTAAGAATTCTGGCTTTATTTTTAATAAGTTTAAATAAATAATTCTGGTGATTAAACTAAAGAAAATGCCAAAGAAGACGATAAATTGATATGCGAATTTCACGCAACATCACATTGTCTTGTGAAATTTTTCTTATCAATAATTGTACAAATTTAAAATATTTATCCACAAAAGTTTTAAGAAGAGTTCTGGCTTTTAAAAATAAAAAAATATTAAAATTAAATAAACACCAACAAATCTTACACTTGAACAAATCGAAGTAAAACGCCGCTCGATTTTCGACAATTCTGATTATTACGAAATAATTCTGATATAATTCTGAGCATGTACAATGTCTCTAAAATTAAAATTGTTTAAAACAAATATTATATCCGAAAAACTCGTTTCGAATACAGAAGTGAGCTATTGGCTGTATTTCAAGAATTTAATTTCTTATGTAACAATTCACAGAAAAATGTTCAAATTATTTTTATCATCAGAACTCTCAATTATTTATCTATAATTTTCCGCAAAAGGATATGTTAGCTTCACACAAATTTCTCGATTATTTGTGTTTTTTTTTTAACTTTGAATGTAGCATGTTTATTAGTCTAGTAGAAATCTTGAAGGTAAGTTTGTCGCGGGAACACTCTCTTTTACCTTGTGAAAGAGGGCGACTTTGTCGAGAACGGCATTCATGTCGTGTACTATGGGGTTCTCCGGTTTGTTCGAGGAGCCGGTAGTCCTCGAACTCCATCCCGACGGCGTCTCTGTGTTACTCTCGACGGCGATCCTGGCGGCCGGCACAGACAAAGGCACGTGTTCTTGAGGTTCGCTCTCCTTAGCGCTAGCACGTGGTGACTCGCGATTTTCTCTAAACCCGTACTGAGACTGAAACATTGCGAGCCAAGACAATAAGTCGTCGGAAGTTTCGATTAAATATTTGCTCTGCAAAATTTATCCATATTATATCAAAAAAAATATTGAATTTTACGCTTTGTGCGATAATAATAATTGAGAAAAAATTAATTTAACGTGTGTGTGTTGTTAAAATAAATTTTTTTTAATAAAAGATTATAAGCAATAGAAAAACGTATTGAATTTCAACGTACATATTTAATTTATTCAGATATTTTCATTTCAAATAATAATAAAATTCCTATAATTCTCATTAAAAAATATGATATATGAGAGTATATAACTTTATTAATTTTTTGAATAGTATTTTTCATACATTTTTAATTTGATCATTTTTATGTTTATTCTATACATTTTCATTATAATGAAAAATAAGAGGAAACTAGTTCATGAAAATAACTATCAACAATATATTTTAAAATAGTTACAATGCACACGAAATTAATTTCACATGACGTAATGTAACGCAATCTAATGTATCGCAAGCAAATACATACAGACAGAAAACTAGCGACAAGAGGAATGTACAGAATAATGATTGCAGGTATGTATTAGATTGTTTGTTATCGTGATATGCGTGCGAGATGAACATATTATATGAGATTACGTCAGAATGGATTAAAATGTATGATATATATCGCAAACTACGGGAAGTATCTATATAATATATATAAATTTTCCGTATCAATTCCATTAGGACGATGTAACGTTTCATAATCTGGATCGCAGAATTCGCGAGAATTTTAAGTAACGATTGCTATCGCTTCGTATATATGTTGTTATTCCATTTTACGTGATAACAACATGCTTCGAAGGGACTAGCGATAAGACATTGTTCATTTCAAGGATGCCCGGATTCGATAATTCGAGTAACGAAGCTCTCTTTGTGTGTCCAAAGAGAACTTGACTTTCGAGAATCGATAGTTTAGGACTTTGTCTCGAGATGCACCCTCGAAATCTTACGTGTTCATCAACAAGGGCGCCCCTTTAGATTTCGAAGAGTAGTAACATGTAAAGGGCTCTTTTGCAAACGTAAATTCTTCTCGACGATCTTGTAATTATAAATAGCACTGAGAAACTTGAGAGAGATAATTGACACGTCCTACTTCTAATATTCTTGATTCTAAATATATTCTATTATTTTTAGAATTTCCTATCAGTTTACATACATTTCATAAACCATGTACTCAAATTAATTAATTCTAATTAATAATTATTTTGAATTTTAATTAAACGAATTTTTTTCATGAAAATTAATAATATGTTATATTAATAAAATTATTTTTTTGACATTTCTCTATTCTCGTATATCACGTATTTAACTGTACACTCATGAATTGAAAAAAATTAATTCAAATTAAATAATTAAATCTAATTTATAACAAACTTTTCATTTTAATTAAACGAATTTTTAAATAAAAATCAATAATACGTTGTATTAATAAAATATTCTTTTTTGACATTTTTCTTTTCTCGTATACCACGTATTCAACTGTACACTCGTGAATTGAAAAAAAATGATCGCTTCATTTATTTTCCTTTTAACAGTAAAGGATTGAAATCGCATGGCTACGAGGCTAATTGTTTACAAACTGATTTGGCTTCTATAATGCGCGAGAGCAAGAACTTTAACGCGGCTTATTATCCAATAACCTTTAATATATCGGATATATTGTTCCGCCGAGATACCGTGTCAGAAGGTGAACGCTGTTTCGCTTTATCGCGCCTTGCTACCACCAGCTGATCGATTCGCCGTCGAACGTCGAACAGCATCGTCGCTAAGTCGCGCGATCCAAATTGCAAACATGCCGAAGCCCTCCGGGAATACGCTTGAAAGTAGGATAATCCGAATACATCTTGTTCGACTTGCTCCCGGCAAGGAAAATACATTCGATGTTAATTTGGCTCTCGTGAAGAAAATATAGAGGAATCTGCTCGTCGCGTTGTAGAACGACGGTGCTACTTTTTTTGATCGAAAATCAACCTGACCACCCGGGCAAATAAGAAAGGCGAGCAAAATGCAGGGAGATTAACGTTTAAAGGGTCGGAGAATATTTCGTATCGTATAAGAATTTTACTTTAGGAAGGATCCGCTTTAAGGAAGATATTAATTTAGTATCCCTTGAGGTTATCTTAAAATGAGATTTTTTTTTTTTAGAAATGTCTTTAGACACAAAATATTCTTTTTTAGTTTATATTTAAAACGAAGAAAGATCATCCCTTTTAATTGTTTCTTTAAGAAGGTTTAATTTGTTTTGATGTAGGTTTTCAAAGTATTTTATGTCGCTGCAATATATGTGATCTCACTTCTCAAAGAACTTAATGTCTAATTAAAATTTTTAGATTCAAAGCGACTAATTTTCAAATATGTAATTAACTAAAAAGTCTTCAAAAAATTTTAATTTATAACTTCTCTTTTTTCTTTAATATTCATTTATAAAATATGGTATACGTGTTAATGGAGTAGTCTGCATTCTTTTATAACAGACGCAGAACTAATAGAATAATACAATTTAAATTAATGGAATTTTTAATATGAATTTGTCAAAAATTCTCTTGTACGTTCAATTTATCACTGTTTCCGCGAAATGTATATTCGTTCAGAATATTTTTCTTGGCATATTCGTAAATAATAATGCGAATACGGCGGTAGAGAGAGAAGAGAGACACATTGTATACAATATCTGGTCTTTTAAAATTTAAAGTTCGAGAATATCCGTGAAGCGGACGTGATGCTGGATGAGCAAAGTGACTTTCGCAGTGTCTGTTGTTTAACCTTCTCACTGCCCTCCTTTCCCGCGTTCTCTATTCCCCGAGGTATACATTTACGTGCCAATAAGCAACGGGGCAGACCAGAAACACGGAGGGATAACAGAGCGATGCACATCGGCTTGGCATACATCTTAGTACCGCGCCGATGTCGATTGAAATTCT